TTTTTAAGCATAATTCCATTATACACAAGTATAACTGAAGACTTCAGCATTCACAGCAGATCCCTAGTCAAGAACTAAAACATGTAGGCTCTGAAACAAAACCCAGTCATCTCATTTCACAGTACTGAGTTAATTAGAGAGCCTTTACCCCCCAAAAAGTGTATTCCTTTAAATGCCTCACTTTGCTGGCTGGTTCCCTTGTGGGCTGTTATTGATTTGGCTGCTGAAACAAAGTGCGGCTCCCAGTCCATGGATAAATGGCTTATTGGATTAAGGCCTCTATATAAAGGCCTCTAGTGCCTGTGTGCATTGGGAGGGGGGCAGGTGGGACCACCAGAGAACTGGAGCCCAATAAAACACACACAGAACTAGACTCCAAAGACAGATGCACATTTTACACATCAGATCTTCACTGCTCGTACACATCAACATTTGGGGAAACCTTGAGGGAAAAGTGACAGTAGTTTTTAGAGAAGACAAAAGACATAAATGAGTTTCAGCGACACACATTCAGGCAGATCTTATTGTTGCATGCTTCTGGCCAGGAAATGTATATATATCTACGTGTCTGTAACTTGATCTTTGACACATTGACGACTGCAGCAGAACAGGATGTGGTCTAGAAACAGACAGGGCGTGACTGAGTGTCTCCGTGAGTGTGTGTTCCTCCTCTGCTCCCTCACTGTCTGAGGCAGAATGAAAAGGCACCCAAATAAAGGCTGTTTACTTCCTCCTGAGAGAGGAAGGAGAATTAGCTGTATTACTCTGTCGTCCTCTGCTGCCCAACTCCGTCCCACCCCCTCACACTGAATGCCATACTCATGAATGGCTCAGAGGGGGGAAGGAGGAGGAGGAAGAGGGTGGATGGTTGGCACAGTTATGTTTTCTGAAGCCCTGTGTTTCTGTCCCATGAGCAAGATAGTGGTGCTCTTCTGGGGGTTTGTTTCTGTTTCCATACTTGACCACTGATGCCCGGGTTTCTACAGATGTGAAGACAATTGGGGCCCAACAGTGTTTGGGTGTTTCAGGGCACAGAAGGGATTTTAAATAGATTTTGATAACGCGCACACACAAGCTGCTCTGGAATGAAAGGTCAGACCCAGGCTTGCCACATTTATTGTGCCCTAGATAAGATTTGCCGTTAGGGTGTGTGTGTGTGTGCCCTGAGACGGCAGTCATCTGGAGTGTCCATGTGACTGTAGTTGAGAGGGGAGGGGGAGAGCTTGACCTCGGACTTGTTTGCACTCTGTGTGGCAGTGTGTCCACCTCTGTGTCTGCCTTTAAGCTTAGATGAATATAAATTAAACCATGAGTAGAAAAGAAACCAGATTCCTTGTGTCTGCAGGTATGAGGGCTGACTGGCAACAGCTGAAAGACACTCACTCATATCCTTTGGCGTCTTCTGATACAAATAAAGTATTAGTTGTTTTTTTTAAAGTTAAAAAAACAACTAATCTAGTTGCAAAGTGAACAAGCTTAAAATTACACCTTTTTTTTAGATTACTCTTTGCAGAAGCTTACACGGGTATGTCACCCTACATTTCAAATGCCCCTTTGCTGTGCATTTTCCAGCTAAAAAGAGAATAGAGCAAACCACAGTATCCCTGGTGTAAAGGAGATGTTAGTGCTTTGCGGTGGGAAAGCTAACGTTGGCTCTGGTGTACTCTGGCTTTTGCCAGACTGTGTATGGTAATGTACGGTCATGAGTGTCTGTGTAGTACTAGAGCGGTGCTTGCTTGCTTGTAATTGTTGGATTTAACCTCACTCAGGCCAAATAATGCATCTGCTGTAGAAATGTCACATGTGCTAATAGTCTGGGGACTAAACTGAGGCTCTGGAAATGGGTCATATTTTAAAACTTCACATGGCCGTGTGTCTACAGTTGTTTTTTTTCTAACTGTGTAGTGGTGGGATGAACTGTGTGTAGCTGCAGCGGCAGGCAGACTGGTGGTGATTAGGAGCAACAGGGCAGAGTTCAGCTGAACGAGTGTGTGGAATACTAATCCACATCATCATACGGCGAGCTTCAGCCTGACAAAGGGCTGGACATGACGTGTGAGAGTGTGTGCGTGTTTACGTGTCATTATTTTAGATTAGGACTGAGTAGCAGCGTGGCGTGTATTAATAAAGCAAGGTGGGTGGAGAAAATGTGGAACAGAAGACGAGAGAGAGAGAGATGGGTAACAGGGAAAAGAGGAAAACAGTTGAAAAATGTGGAAACGTTTGTAGTCGCACACATTTGTAAAGGTATAGGCAGGAATAATGAGCACGGGGTGTGTGAGTGTGTGGGCGGGGGACGTTAAGCTGTCAACTGTCAGGTAACTGTCAGGAATTACAGGGAGAGACGCAGACAACCATTAGTTGAACACACACATACATATAAATTCCATATGCGGATACACACACCCAAGCATATATACACTTTGTACGCACACACACACACCTACCTTTTTAATGAGCTGTCAGTTGTCTCATCAGCATAGCATCTGCTGTCACGGGGGTCAAGCAGATGAGACCTCTGGATGACCTGGTGTTAATGTCAGTTTGGGCTCATGTTCTCCTTCTTTCTGTGTTAGTCTCTCTCTCACGCACGCACGCGCGCACACTTGTGCAAGGGGAGTGACAGATTTTAGGGGAATGTAGTAGGGAATGCCATCAAACATACACGTTCAGACAGCCTTAATGGCAGAAGGAATTCAGACAGTGTGTACCTTGTTCGCCTCGACACCACTGCAGTGGGATTATTATTGTTCCTGTCAATTCAACCTTCCCTCTATCTCTGCCCTGTCCCTTCATCCTCTCTGCCTCCCCTTCACTCCCTCCCTCCCTCCCTCCTCAGCTCTGCAGTACTGCCTTCTGGAGGGGAAAAAAGGCCAACCACAAGTGCTCATAAACGGACGAGCCCCCCTTCTACACACACACACACACATACATACACACAGACACACACACACACCCTCCCTCCCTCCCTGACAATACATATGGCTCCAGCCCATTACATGTGCATGCACATGCTCATTCATCCATGCTGTTGTAATTAAGGGACTATCCCCTGCATGCAGTACTTAAACACACACATACTCAAATAAGGACTACTAGTAGTTGTTTTTTGAGACATAACAGAAAAGGTAACAGGCGTAGGTTATTTCTTCACTATATATTTAATGCAATAGTTTAATATTTTGGGAAATATGCTTCTTTCGTTCCAAGATGAGACCAGATTGTTCCTGTGCTGGATCCAGGACGTCTATAGTTTAGTATAGCTTAGCATAAAGGAGGAGGAGGCGGAGAAAAACGGCAAGCCAGGTTCTAATCCAAAGTTCATAAATACATTTTCACCTCTAACGCAGACCTATTAACGCCGTGGTATCTCGTTTGTTTAACCCATATATAAACAGAAATGTAAAAACATCTTTGATTTTAGAGGAAGAGTCACATTAGAGAAGCTATTTTGCTTCATAAATGACTTTCCAAAGTTACCAAAATGTCAAACTATTCCTACAAAGGTGTGTGTGTGTGTGTGTGTGTGTGTGTGTGTGTGTGTGTGTGTGTAAGGTGGCTAATACCTAGCTGTCACAGTAATTTGGTCGTATTGTTCTGAGTCTGTTTAGCTCTGGTAATGACAGTGTCTCTTAGCCCATGGAGTGCAGAGGAAATCTTTGTCTAGCTAATGAAAGGTTGTCTTTATCATTCGCTGTATCCAACTCTTTGCATGTATTTTTGTGGATAAATGTTTATAGATGGCTTCAGGCTAGTAGGGCTAGTAAGTAAATTATTGATGCTTTCAAACAGCCTCTATCTCTTTCTCCCGTCCTTCTGCACTTTGGTTCTGCTTGTTCTCATTGAATTCTCTCTCCGCCTCTTTATCCTCTTTCCCTGTAGCTAAACAGCATAGTAACAAAAGAAACTCAATACGTCAGTGGAAACAAATCTAAAATGTAAATAAAATTCCTGACATCAAAAAGTGTGTGTGGGGGAGAGCAGGACAGAGGCTGCATCGTGATAATAAATACTAGTCTTTAGCTCCCGGGGCCGTATAATACCAGGTTTTGGTACCTATCCCTAAATAATTTTCCTTATTCATTGTGTTTCAGGCAGTCGTTTGTGGTGTGTTTATTGAACATGTTCATATTGCTCTGACGATAAAATTTATAGATAGCGGTTCATATTGCATTGCTGGAAAGTCTTGTTCCTCTGGTACTTTTGCTACATATCACTTTGTTTGTGTGTGAGAACTGCAGGCAGGCTTGTATGTAGTGTCAGGCCTGTCTGCTGCAGATAAGCATCAACTCCATCAGCTTGTAGCCTCTCACTGAGCGTGTCCTGGATTTGCTCAAAAACACACACACAAGGACACACAACTAGAGGCAGTGCCAGCAGTATTTACTGAACACTCACGGCTCAGAGCGTACGAAGCTGACACAATGAATCATAGACATTCAACAGAAAATATGTCTACGCATTGAGCAAAAGGCTGACTCCAACTGCGTTGCATGTATACCGATGACTCATGTGCACAGAAGCACATAATGACAGGCCATGCTGTAGCCATGTTGACTATCAGCGTGGCTTTCCTTGTGTGTTATTCATAAGCTTTCCTCAGTGGTCTCATTCAGCCTCTACTCTTAGCTTATTCATTTTCCTGCTGCCTTTGTTTTCTCCGACACTATATCTCAGCCGACTCAGGCCATAGCCCACTTGTACAAGCTGCTCACTTCTAATGCCATTTGTCTCCATTTTCTATCTCTTGGATGTGATTTGTCTCTATTTCCTATAGTTTAAATGCCATTTGTCTCTATCTTTCCCGTCTGTGACCTTAGCCTCTGCGGTGCCAGTTATAATAATTTTTTTCTCACCACTTTCTTCTTCTCGTTCTCCCTCGACAGAGTCCGTGCATCATTTTAATTGCTCTTACAAATGTATTTTATGCAGCACTCTATCTCGCCGCTCTCTTTCTCTGTTGCGTTTAACCTTGGCTTGTCTTTCTCTGGGTGTTGCAGAAGGCAGTGGAGGAGGAGGAGGAGAGCCAGGTGAGGAAATCCTCGGCAGATCTCTGCTCCCCCAGCAGCAAGCTGGCCGATGCCGACCCTGCGCGAAAGGTCAGTTGCCGGTTCCCTCCCCATATCCATCCACCCCACCTCTCCGTCGACTCGTACTTCCTACCAATATCCCGTCCTCTCTTCCCCCTCCCCCGCCACTACACACAGGTCACCTCTCAGGGTCGCCAGACAACCTCCCTGTTCACCCATTCATAGCGGCACACTTCTCCTCTCTGACCTGTCAGGAAATGCACTCGTACAGCTGCTCCCCCTTATTGCAGTACACGCAGGGAAGAGGCTCTTTAACATGCATGATTATCTTTTTTTACACACACACATTCTTTTAGCTGATGCCTGATGGATGATCCCTCATCCACGTGTATGCATGCATATATTAGCTTTATTAGATTATGGCTCCATAAGCGCCAGCAGTACAGAACACTCCCCTCTTCTCCTGCTGCGTCTCTCCATGTATGCATGTGTGTGTACACATGTGGGTCTGTGTGTGCATGCATCTTGTGATAATTAATTTATTCAACTCCAAGATGGCATGCAAAGATCAATAAATGCGGATGGACGATGTCATTCTATGCCTTTTGTAACATAACGCAGTAGCTTAGAAGAAAATGTTGCTGTGGTGTGTGATATTTATGTGTCTGTGGGGGGGTTTCCACAGGGGAAAACATCTCCACCTACTTTGGTGTTCAACCGTCTTTTCTCGGACATCAAGGAGGAGCCAGGACACCCCACCCTGGTCCATCCCAGGTACTACACCTCATTAACTTTGATATCAATACCTGAAGCTATTCTTTACAAGCCCTGCTGCCTCTATGCCAGATAGTGTACGTGTGTTTCTTTGCCCTTCTGCTTTAGTAAGAAATGTTAAGTTTCAGTTTGACTTCAGTTTCTTTTTTAGTAAATGAAATTCCCATCCCTAATTTGCTGGTGCTGTGTTCCCTCTTCTGCCTCCTCATGCTTTATCCTTCATCACATGCGCCACTCCTCACTTCCTCCCTCCTTCCCTTTTCTTCACAAAGCCCTTGTTTTCTCTCTTCTGCTTCTCTGTTCCTCCCTCAATCCCCCCCACAGAGGATACCAGCCTGTGTTTGGATATGACGTTCTCTGAGAGCTAGTAATCTGGGTCAGATAGTAATCTGACCCAGATTAAAAGATGGAAGGTTTATGGTGCCACGGCTACATGTGACTGCCTTGACACACTGACTGTGTGGAGGCTCGCAGACGCCCGGGCCAGACAAATTGGCAAGATTAAAGTTCTGGTCACCTACCAGCCGCACATGACTGCTACGCTCTCTCAAACCAGTCAGGACTTGCGCAGTGCAGTTTGAAGCACGTGTCTTGCATTGCAGCGTTGGTAACAATGAGCTGCTACAGCCAAACGTCGTGCTTGACATCCGCAGCACTTAATGGGTTACCACCAACATCCATTAGCGGTACACTTGAAAATAATACTTCAAATGCGAGGCAGTATTACATTATTCAGTCACATCTTAGGCGTTTTCATGTGAAGGAGTTTCAGATTCACATGCAGGCGAGCAGGCAGCACTTCGTTTCCATCCAGAGGAGAGGAAGCGAGGCTTGGTTGGTCATGCCATAGTTTTTCAGGCAGAGCCCGCTGCGCTGTCATGCTTAACCTAGTTCACAGCTCTATCTGCAGGGGGCTGCTGATGGGGGGAGGGGTTCAAAGCTTCTCTTCGCTCCGCTCCGCTCCTCTCCTCCATCGCTCCCCCCCCCCCCCCCCCCCCCCCCACCACGCAGCTAGGAATAGACAGATAGTGTTGGCTCAGTGACTTCAGTGCATTTCCAGGCACGCGCTCGCTCTCTCTCTCAGTTGTGCCCACTATCTGGACATTTGCGATAAGCCGAAGGTCTGTTTTGGCTGAGATTCTGTAAACATGTGATAAGAAATGTCCATATTTTCCACACTGTGTTTTCAGCTCCTGTCTTCAGATGGTGCAGTCACTGTAGCCACCAAATGACTGTTGTTCTATTACTCTGATTAAGCTGGGTTTTATAACTGTAGAGGTAAAAGGGCCATATAAGTTATAGCAGGCGTATGTGTATTGGCATTGCAAAGTCCATAGCTTTTAACATTTTACGATATTTACTGCAAAGACAGAAGTATGTGAAAGGTGACACTGCTACCATTATAACTAGAATGACCAACAATCAATTCAGTATGTACTTAATTAGCAGCATAACCCACCTTGTGCAATCAGGGAAAACTTGGAATTTAATTTAAATTACTTGCTATTTTACATTCAGTATTAGATTCAGTTTAGATCTTAAATGTCTTCTTTCTTTGTCTCTGTTTCTCTCCCAGTTACTACCTGTACACATACGATAAGATGGTGGCTCCCAACGTGTCTCTGCAGAGGGAGGCGGAGATGAGCCCCGAGATGTTCGGCGCGCTGCTCAAACACCACTACAGCCGCAGAGTGCTGGGCCATGACGAGCCACCCATGGGTCAGTAATGTCATACCCACATTAATACACACACATATTGACCCAACACACAGTACAAAGGGAGACGAATGGAAAACCATTTACATAATATGCATACATGGTATTGTCATGCTCAATTACAAACATATACATATACCATTTTACCGCACCAATGTAGAAATTGGATTTGCATTACACACATGTTCACCATTTTATATATGCATTTATATAGCAGATTTCATTCCAAGCGAGAAGGAATTTTTGTCTACTTTTGAACAGTGTTAATGCCAGATGACATAAGATGTCTGATCTTGGATAAGCAGGTCAGAGAGGTATTGTACTACACAATGCCAAATGCGTAAATAAAATGTGATCAAATTTAACATAAACTTTCCCAGACATAAAGTCCCACGTCATGCTTAAACCTGTCCTCCTTTTATATTTTTTATATACAAATCAAGCAACTACTGAGCACGGGAATTCCCACCCACATATCAGGCCTTTTCATTTATATGTTATGATCAGTTGTGTCAAACACTGATTCAAATCTAACACTACTAAAATAGAATAATTCCCTTTACTTACTTGACGACGTGTGTTCATGCAAGTGAAAAACTAAAACAAGCACACGCAGAACGCATGAAAAGGCAGGATATTGCTTCCAGTTTACCCACTGAATTATTAACTGTAGAACTAGTTAATTTTAGCTACATGCTCCAGAGTCTATGTTACCCACTCAACATGAGACAACAGGTAAAGTGACAGGTAATGTTCAGAAATCGTATAAGCATGGTAAAAATACCACTATTAAAAAGGTTTGGATATAAACAAAAATGAATTAAAGAGCTGAATGAAATACTAATTAAAAAAGAAAATGATTGAATACCTATTTTATAATGTCATCTAATCATTTTAACCACTTTACTTTAATGCCTTCTATTCAGCATTTATGCTGAACAGATAATGAATGACTGCAAAGTGAAACACTATTTTTGTTTTCAAATATTAATGTGCTCTAGTCTTAATTTGATATTAGTCAATTTCAAATTAAAGGATTTCCATTAACAACCAAAGGCGGACAACAATGGTGATATTTGATCATTAACTATTAATTATATTAATATATTGATATTATATTAATAATTAAATACTGTGTCCACTGCATGTACATTAGACACACAAACACACATGCCGACTATGAATATGTGACATGGCAAGCAAGAGCGATTTACATACAACATAAGCAGAAGAGACATTCAGATCACGTCCCTGTAACACACTTGAAGAGCAGACACGTGCTTACTGTAAACATACAATCTGCATCTAACACACACATTCATGCACGCACACTTCAACAACACAACATTGCAGCCTGCAGCGACGCACATAATCATGCTTTGACCTTCATATAAAGACTTGGGGGGCGGGGGCACCTCACTATCGATGAAGGAGAGGGGTGGAAATGACAGTGACCCCTCTCCGCACTGTGTTTTTATGTCTGTATATATGTAAAGAGAGAGAGAGACAATGAGAGGAATTGTTTCGGTCATTATTTTTACGCCACATCTTACTGCCAGGTCGTCTCGCTCTCATATCTCTCGGGCGTTCTGCTCCCCCTTTTTCTTCTCCAAGCAATCTGTCTATCCTCCCTCCATCCTCTTTTTTTTCCTGGCAGCTATCTCCACATCCTCTGAGTCTGTCCTCCGTCTGCTCCCGCACTTCGTCTTTCATCCCTCCATTCATCCACACTCGCCTCTTTCTTCTCTGGCTCCCTTCATCTCTGCCTCCCTCACAGTCTGCTGTCACTTTTTCCCCCTCCTCCTCTTCATCCTCCTCCTCTTCTCTCCCACTCTGTTTGCGTGCCTTTCACTCTTTCTGTTGTGGCATTTTCTCTCTCTCTCACTCTGTCTCTCTCTTTCTCTCATTCTCATCTGCTTATTTCCTTTCCAACCACTACCAAATGACCCACTCCTGTTATTTGTGTGCTTCTACCATTTTGTGTGTGTGTGTGTGTGTGTGTACGCACATGTGCAGCTTGAGTCAGTAAAAGAGTGTGCTCTCCAGTGCCATGTTGTATACAGAGCATGCTGTTTCCTGTCACACACATACTGTATGAATGCATTTGGCTGGTAAACAACACACCATTCTCATGCTCTCTTTCACTATTTCTTCTTCTCTTTCTGTGTGTGAGCTTAAACATGCACCGGCATTATTAGACTACACATGCCCCCATTGCAGCAGTGTGTGAGTGTGTGACACGGCCTGTTTGATCCTTCTCCCAGGATGTGCACCTTTTTTAAAGGCTACAGTGAGAGAATAGGCCAGAGTTTGAATAGAGAAGCCCACGCAGAGCAGCGCATCTCCCACACACGGCCCTTTAGGCGCGCTCGCTCTCTCTCTCTTGTTTGTCAGCTGTTGCCATGCCGCGCTTCTGCTTGCGTGTGCACTCACGCTGAGAGAAAGAGGTGTGAGCTTCTGTGAGGTTGTGCGAGGGTGTTACAAAGCGTAGGCGGGAGTGTACACTAGCTTAGCTCGCACTTCCTCTCTTTCAACCACCTCCCCTGCTTTTTTTTTAATTTTTTTTTTTATAAACTCTCCTTCATCCTCCTCTTCCTCCCTCCTCAGATCTTCATGCATCGCCTCCCGCCGTTGCTGGCACCGAGGAGGCCAAATCCCAACGTGCCGCTACTGCCTTGGCCACCGAGCGGGAATGCCAAACCCAGGCAGTTTCCATGGAGACAAGCAGCCTGAGCTGCAAGAAAGCCACCCACCATCCCGCCCGCACCCCTCCTCCTCCTGCGTCGTTGATGTCGCCGGTAACGGAAGTAGTGGCTAAGGACATGGGCTCCGCCATGAGCAATGCTGCAGTGGTGGTGGGGGGGCTGGAGGATGACAAGGACAGGATTGTTGTGGAGATCATGCAGATGTACAGCAAGCAGCAGGAGAAGCTCAACTCCACCCTGCATAAGCAGCTGCAGCTGGAAATGGTGAGTTTGCAGTCTGAAAGAACAAAGACCGAGATAAATGAGCTCCTGACTAGACCAAAACTGTCCTCGCCTATTAAAAGTGTCCTTGATGTAGATGTGGAGGTGATGTTCACCTCCCACCGACCCCTTCATCCCACTGCCTGGAAAAGTCAGCACTCCAATTAAGTTAAATCAGTGCTTCACTAATATATAACATTTTAATATTATTAAAACATTCCTACATTGTAGTGACGTCCACATCTACTGCTGACTTATGTCACTGTATTCACAGAGAATTGCATTTGTATTCTAAAATGAGATATTCAGTTATAAAAAGACAAAATAACAGAAAAAAGGTAAATGTAGTCTGTCCTCTTTTCCCACTTTAATTTTTTTTTTGCTCTTGACTACATCCATAATCGCACTGAATCTGTTAAAGGTCATTTATAACGTTTTTTTGATCTGTCTGAATTTGGTCCGCAGGCCGCTATTGGAGTCCCTTGTGGTATCAAACACCTGACCTCCCTGTGGAGGGGCTGAAATATAAAGCATTTTCTCTACAGGGGTCAGTGAAGTATCACATTATTATTGTTATTTCCCTTGACTTAGTCTCTGTGTTTCCAGGAGCTGGAGGCGTTGCGTGGGGGCGAGGCGGCGAGGCTAAGGGAGCTGAGCGCTGAGCAGCGGGAGCTGCGCTGTGAGCTGGAGGCGGTGCACAGCGAGCAGGCGCGGCAGCTTAGCCAGGCCCGCCAGGAACAGCTGGAGCTAGAGACCCGTCTGGAGCAGCTGCGACAGCAGGCATGCGCCTGCGAGCCGGGGACACAACGCCAGCAAGAGGCCCACTACACTGCACAGGTACAGACTTAGAAGGGAACACGTGCATGTGCAGCACTGACTATGGCATCAGAGGCAGCCTGATTGAATCACATTGACATATGCAGTAAGCACATTGGCTTGCATGACTTAACATATGCTGTTTTTATCTCAAAGACATACTGCTACGCTTCAAACCAGGAAAGCATCAGTGCTGCTCTCCACATATCAATACTTCCTTGCACCTTCTAGTATTTAAACCATTAAATTCACATAATTTATTTATTATCATGATAATGCAAGAATTTCCATTTGTGACATTGGTGAAAAGATATTCACAGTTTACATCACTCTGTTGTCTGAATGTGCTGAGTTATAATGCAAACACCACTATATGAATCCTCAGTAAATTCCCACTGGTCCAGCAGTATGCTAATGCTAACTGTTTCCATCAGTTAGTGGCAAAGAACACTTAAGATCACATGGTCAGCACCCACAAAGCGGGTGGCTGTGGCTCAGGAGGTAGAGCGGGTTGGCTGTTAATCAGAAGGTCGGTGGTACAATCCCGGCTCCCCCAGGCTGCATGTCCTTGGCAAGATACTGAACCCCGAATTGCCCCTGGTGGCTGTTCCGTCAGCGTATGAACATGTGTGAATATTAGTTTATGTTTGAGCACTTAGGCTCAGTGTATGAATGGTGAATACGGATGTAGTGTAAAAGCGATTTGAGTGGTCGAAAAGACTAGGCTCTATACAAGTACAGAGCATTTTACATTTTACAAATTTCCTTTAATGGTAGTGAAGGGTGTTTTCAAAACCTCTGAACCAGAGATGTGCCCCGGCATCAAACTCAGGATGTCTCCCGGTTGGGAAAGGGATTGCGCATGTGTTTGTGTGGTTGAGTTTAGTTCTAGCCTGAAAGTAGACATTGTGTGAAGAAATTTCCCAGTTTCACACAAATCTCTAAGGTGCGAGTAAAAACACAGCAGTGAATATGTCCATGACTGTGTCTTTATACATCTTTTCTTGTTTGACTCATTATTGTGGGGTAATTTTTACCTTGAAAATGTGACCACTGGTGGCTGAAAGAGCAACACACAATAAGGGTTAGGGTCTCTTCACTACACACAGTGCATCTCCTGTTATGATGGGCTCCTAGCTAACTACTTTTCAGCTGCTATCTGTTTGTCTTAATATTTTACGTAGGATCTGTTTTGTGTGCATGTCTGTGTTTTTTGAGTTTCTTATATGAAGAGAAGGGCTAAGGGGAAAAAAAGTATTCTGCAACGTTGAATCTAGTTACAGAATCTCTTAATACGTCAAGAACTACACGCCATGAATGTGATGAACTGTGTTCAACTAAATGTCTTCTAATGTGCTGTAGGCATACGTTGACCTCATGCCTGTCTGTCTGTCTGTCTCCTCCCAGTTGTCGGAACTGCGTCAGAGGCTGGAGCAGGCGGAGGCAGACCGGGAGGAGCTGCAGGAGGAGCTGCGCAGGGAGCGGGAGGCACGGGAAAAGTTGGAGCGCACAATCGCCCAGCTCAAGCAGCAGATGGCCCAGTCTGGCACGGTGGGAGGCAGCCCCTCTCCTCCTCTCACCCCTTCAACTGGACCCCCTAACGCCCACTCCCCGCCCTCCTGCTCCTCTTCCTCCTTCTCAGAGGCCCTAGTGGCTGGCCAAAAGTAACTGCCACCCCTCTGGGCGCCTCCCTCATTCCTCTCCCCCATCACCCGCCAACTCTCCAGACACAAACAAATCAGTCTGAAGCATAAAGGAGGTTCCCATCTCCTCAGGCTGTTGTGTGTTTTGTTTTTTTTTTAAACTTGTTCATCTCACCCTCACTCTTTTTTCAGACTTTTGTTTTTGTAATTTAATATCCCTTAAAAGAAAAGTTTTATGTTGTGTTATTATTTTTTTATGATTCTTTATTTTACTCCCCTCTCCTCTCTTTAAACAGTATTTAAAGATTTATTTGGGCATGTATGTTTTGATTTAATTTATAATTTTTATTGAACAAACCGCTGCTTCACAGACGGGAGTTTGATCAAGTAGAGACTAACTCAACACATCATTATGTTTTTTTTGTTTTGTTTTTTTTTCCTCCCCCACGGTTGTCACCCTCCACTCCAATCCCTCCTTGCTCTTTCTGGAATCTGGAACTCATGACTTGGAGATTTCAGACTTGGACACACAGACTCATCGCAGCTCCTCACGGACATCTCGTCATGCTACTACCTGGCACATCAGCCGGTGCCCACAGACACATAATGGCGCCTGCTTTGCGTGCCCATTCTTCGTCTATCTGTATGTACAAACGCTCAAGTACCAGCGACTGCAGGAAACTGCATGGACATTTCAGTACACGTTTTGGGTTTTTTTGCTCCTTGTAAAAGACAAGTGTAACAACAAGTCAGAAACATCAAATCTATATGGAGGAGAAAGACATTTACTGTACAAAAAAAACAGATGTCGTAAAACCTCATGAAAATATGCCAATAGTGACGCTAAACTTGAAATGAGTGTTTGAGTGTGACCCCCACAAGGTAGCTAGCTAGCAAATCGCCTGGCCTGGACCCCAGCTGCTGCTAACACAGACTAGTTTTCCTCTTCACTTTGCTGGGCAGCGCCTGGACTCTCCTGTTGTAGACCAAACTGTCTTGTCGGTTGATCCACTAGCTGTCCAGTGCCTCCTCTAACTTGCCCCCACCACCTTCCGCCACTGTACGCTAGCGCCATTGCCCTCTGCTGGGAAACACTGTTGTTTTTCACCCACTTTGGGCTAGACAGGAAACACAGTTTTCCGGCTTGGCATGAAGAAGCTCACAAGCAGTGTTATGCACTTAACGCACCCTCCTCCCCCAGAATCCCCTGGGAAAGGAATGCGTCTGGACACGGAGGCTGGTTGAGCCAGAGTAGCTTTTCTAAGAAAGCAGAAAGGCGGGGTCTCACATGTGCGGTAGCTGTACTGTGTTACCATAATACATACGACATCCTTGCATGCCCGCACACACTCGAGTGTGCGAGTGCAGTCCAGGCATTCAGGCAGAACAATGGCGCCAGCGTTCCCAGCAAATGATCAAAGCTCCAGCCTGTCTCCGTTTTCTGGCCTTTTCTTTTTTTGTATCATTTGACTTCATTGTTAGCAGACGGTTTTATCCCCACCCTGTTTGTCAGAGTGTCATCTAAGAATGTGGGTCGCAGGTGAAAGCAGTTAGTCCAGGGTGTTTTGGGCCTCAGGTCTGGCCCCTGCTTCACGTTATTCTGCCTGGCAGAACAAACAGCACCGGGCAGGGAGAGGAAGTGAGGGGAGGTGAAGGATTGAGGGGTGCGCTCGGGGGACTGGTGCACAGCGGCAGGCTGGGTGGCCCAGACGCCGGAGGTACAGAGGGAGCCCTTTTTGTTTTGTGCTGTCAGAATGGGGACAGCTGTTGTTGTCTGGGGGCCTCTCTCGGGTGAGACTGTACAGACTTGCCCCATCTCTCAACAACCTCCCTCCCTCCTCCTCTCCCGCGAAACGTCACTCACATACAATACTCAGACATACCCGTCCATCCATCTCCAGTACCAGATCAGCTGGGGGTGTGAAGTGTTTTGTAGATGCCCAGGAGAGCGAGCCCGACATCCAACCAGAGGAAGAGAGGACTTTTATTGTGTCAGTTGCCAGGCAAAAGCGCTTTTTATTGCCACTAAGGAGATCCCTATAAGCGAGTGTGTGGGCGCGCGCGAGTGTGTGTGTGCGCGCGTGTTTGTACATAATTGTTTAAAAAGAGATGGGGGATCGGCCTCAGCTAAACCTTTTTTATGCATCTGCTATAAATGCAAATCGATAAGACATTCCACTGTGCTCCATCCTGTTTAATGCAGATTTTCTTACACAGCTTCCCTTTACAATAACAGACCTTAAAGCAGACCGGGCAGAGTACAGATGTGGTTTGTTGATTGTCAAAAAAGCAGGTGCAAGCCAGTAAAATCAAACCCATGCCGTATATGTACACTCTGCTGTTGTTCCATTTAAACCTTTATTGAAATTATGAAAGAAAATATTTAACGTATTAACTAAAGATTTATATTCACTTTGTAAATACAGTAGTCATTAATATATTAACTGTTCTTACATGAAAAATCTTTGAAAGGTTATATTAATTGGTCCAGAATCAAGGCTTCAGATGTTTTTGCTTTCCTTTTTAAAAAAAAACAAAAAAAAAACATATTTGCAGATACCAGAAGTTGGCTTTTGTCGAGTGGATGTGGGGGAGTGAAACGCACGGTTTACTGATACATGATGCAGGACAAAGGCAAAATAAAAACATAATACTTTGTTACAAACTTTCCCCTCTTTCTGAACTGATGCATTTGTTTTTTGTGCATTTCATCTCACTGTTTAATGTGCAACGTAATGAGCTTTACCTCTTTGCTAAAGCGCCCTCCCCTGAGCCAAATTGAAAAACATTTGAAGAAAATGCATTTTTGAAAAAAAAGGAAAACAAACAAAAAGTGATTTTTTTTTTTTTTTGTTTGCATGTTTTGCTGCCCCATATGTTTTGTGTCACCGGGCCACTCTATCAATCTATTCATTGTTAAAAGAAAAAAAGAATTCCTTCCACATAATGCACAAACTATTGAGATGGCTCATTTGCATGAACATTGAACATGTGCAAGTTTTATATCGTTATTGGTTCAGAGGTTGGCTAAATATAAAGTCAAATATTGAAGAACATAACAGGTAGCCTAATTTGATTTGGAAGTGATGTGAGTGCGTGAGAAAAAGAGGGGAGTGTGTTTGCTTGCTCCCACGTCCAAATGAAGCACAGCAGCTATAAAAAGGGAAAGCGAAAAACTTGCTCATGTAGCTCAGGATGTGTAGTTATGTTTCTTCATTCTGATCATATATCCTAGTCCGGATGTGTTAACATCACTCAAAAGATAATCAGTATTAGTTATTATTGTCTAAATGACCTCTTAAGCAGAACTAAAAATGAAATTCAAGTCATATTAGCAGAAAACAAAATCTGTTAACCTCTGTAATCTTACTTTGTGTAATTATTTGTGCATTTTATACACAAGGGGGAGTTGTTTAGCTACTTTAATTACACACCATAATGGGGAAAAAAGGACTAAATGAAAGGGGAGAAAAATCCCTTCTAACACAGTGTGCTCGGCCTTTTTGCAGTGTTATGAGAACTTGGATGTGCTTTGTACGGAATATTTACTGGTGTGAAAGTTTTCCCAACTGACAAAAAAACAAGGTGAAAGGAGCAGAGCTTTGCCATGTGAATACATTTGAATACAGGATTTGCATACCCATTGCCTCCTGGCTATGTAAAGAAAACTAGTAAACAAATCCAAGGTGCCCTTTGAACTGATTAAGGTGGTATGCTTTGTAGTTTGGTGCATAACTTTCCGCCAGCAATTATTCGATGCCAGTGTAGGAGAAGTAGTAAGTAGGGTGTCATTGGTGATTGATCACACAGATCACTGGTTACTAAAAATAGGTACACCATGTTTTAATTTATACAAATCCTGTAATAGACAAAAGAAAATCATGGCTTGGCTAAAAAGAACCCCCATTTCCCCTCAAAGCTGTTCTGAGACATGAAACACAGTGTCTGTGTATGACCATTGCATACTACGTTGCCAATACTACAGTGTGATGAGACTTTTGTTCTTGCATGAATCGAGACACTGTTCTCCTACCTCATGTTGTGATATAAAAAGATGTTTTTTAAGCAGAAGACACTGCATCTCTGTTTATCATTGATATTTACTAGTAAATGACATACCTGTAAATGCTTTTAGCTAATACCTCAGTTGTATCTAGTGTTTGTTTTTCTGTTTTTGCCCTTCCCTGATTTCAGATCTTGTAAATATACCCTGTATAGACAATGAACTTGGATCAAATTCAAGTAAAGTTCTGTAGTGTCAAACCAGTGTTGTCTTTTGCCTTTCTTATCCGCTTGATACTGATTTCCTCCTCCATGACGTCCTTAATGATTTCACACATTTGCACAAGATACTCGTTGAAAGTCGCACACTGAAGCCTGTGCTGTGCACAGACAAGACGGGTAAAAATCGCCCAGAATGGCATCTCCAGAGCCATTTTGATAATCGATTACTTGTTTCAGTAATTGTGCATGAGGACTATAAACTGGAAATCTTCACATCTGAGAGTCTGAAACTAGAAGACTCTCAAATGTGAAGATTTCCAGTTTATATTCCTTACAGTACTTATAGGATAGTAATGTGAATTTCTTACGTTGGTGTCGCCGCAAAACAAGGATTTCATAAGTATTCGGCAGATAAATCAGTCAAAATAATCACAACGATGGTCCTGAGTGTATGAGTAAATATCTTCTGATGTGTTTTCCTGGCTAAATTTGTTGCTACTATTTCATTAGGACCCACCCACACACGTGAAAAATTTCCAATAAGACTTTCCAGTGTACATTTTATTTGAGTAATCATTAAATTTTCCAGCAAGACTGCAAAATCAGAGCGCAATTTGCTAGCTACAACTAGCTGTCCAGCTTGTTTGCATTAACAATTCCAACGGCACACCTGAAAAGAAAATGGCTATAAGCTTAATGCCAACTAAACCAAACGCCTCTGGTTTATTATTTTTTAGAGAAATAATTACCTCTGTGACCCACCTGTATGCCAATACATGGCAGGCACAAACTGGGGCTAAATGTTAACCATGTTCACCATCTTAGCTAATTTAGCATGTTTGCAAATTAGCACAAAGCAGCACTGAGGCAGATGGGGATGTCATTAGTTTAGCAGGTATTTGCTTATTACTGGACAAATTAATGAATATAAATGCATCATTGGGAAAGTATTTTCCAAAGTATTAGTGTCTGATTTACTGTATTCATTTTGTTATTAGTCAGATAAGCCAAAAGTTATTCATAAATTAGGTGCCTTTTTGAAGAATGCTCAACCTTTTGTTATAGTAATTTATGATGTAAATTACATAATTCCTGATAGATTATATTGTATATTTTTCCATACCATGCAATCATGGTCTTTAAAAAATAAATATGAATTTGAAAAAAATCATTATTATACCTTTTATTTAACCAAAATAAAAATCATTGAGATTAAAAATCTCTTTTTCACAATTAACAAGGTTGTAGACACATGAACATATAACACAAAACACATAACAATTTACAATGGGAATAAATAGTTACAAGGTCATAAAATATCAAAATTAAATATTCATCACAAGTACTCAACAACAAGGACCAAATGAGTAATCAATCATTTACATCTACAGCCAGAATTGCCAGCCTCCAAGTCATTTAAAAGTACTTGCATTTTACAGCTGATTCCAAGAAAAGGGAGCAGATCACACTTTGACGCCCCTTTTCCCAATTCAGTCCGGACTTTAAACGTTGAAATGTATACTGTAATAGGCTGTATATTAACTTATTGGGAGAAAACTGGTAGTTCTATGTAAAATCAGACGTTGAGTACCCCCATATTGCCAAAATGGCATGATCCTTGTTTCGCTGCGAACAGAGCCCTTTAAAGAGGGCTCTGGCTGCGAAGCTTTGACTGTGAGATTGACAGTCGAATCAGGCTCCGCCCATCGAAGCATCGAATCTTTGACTATTCGGTTCAGCCCTAAAACCAACCAACCCGAGCATACAAATCAGGGTTCTAAAGTTTGTGATTCAACCTCAGTGTTCTACGGTAAACAGTATCCAACACTTTCAGGCTTTAAATGGATGAAGGCTTGTACATGTCATCGCCGTCCAGCACTGACAACAAGTCTCCTTTTGGCCTCAAAGGAAAAACACGACTTGTTTTAAAAAAAAAAGTTGAATAAAAAAATTAATCTGAATTTGAAAAACATGATGATGCCGCCAATTTAAGTCATTACAATTCATCCTTTAAAGGTACAATGTGTAAAAATGTAGACTACTTTGTACCTAACAAATCCATTCTCCTAAAAATAGGGGCAGCATATCACATATCAGGTCATAACTGCTGGTAACTGCTGTTAGCTAGTTAGCTCAGTTAGCTGTACTGCTATCTTCACTTCAAGGCTATGTGCGGCCTGTTTGACGACATGATTTACATTGGCTTCGGCCAGGACGCTGGAAAAACACGAAACGTGAAGGCGGAGACACCAGAGGCATCAAGTGGGAGAGAGTGAATTATATCATCGTGTTTATAAGTCTGTGAGCATTTGGTTTTGTGAAGTTGGAAGTTATTTATTAAACAACGAGACTTTTGTGATGTTGTACTGTGTTTAAATAAATTAACAAAATGTTCAGTTTCCTTGCTAGTTGTTCCTGACACGTTCAGAATCAACACCAGGCAGCTCGTTTCGTGCCCCTTAAAATGTATATTTTACAGGCTCATTATTACGCTTTTGTATTTCTGTGTAATGTAGCAGAGCATTAACTGTTACTTATGTGTTACTTACTTGTGTTACTTATAACGTTCTTTGTCAGCCCTGGAACTTGAGGGTTTTAGCTAGGGCTATGGTTTGCCCTAGCTAAAACCCTCAACAAAGTGGCTAATTCCAACGTGTGTATTATTGGCGTTGTGCAGTCATGTTCTGTCCTCGGTAGCCAAGCTGAATTAAAATCTCCACTTGCAGAAGCTGTCAGGAGGGACGACTGCCAAGTCCTGTGCTAGCTGTGAGGATGGACTGACTGCACATAAAACGGCTGCTATCAGAAGGCTGTTGAGGAAGCAGAGCCAAGCAATGTTCAAACCCAGGTATGCAGGTATTTCCACAGGCAGGAGGAAGAAGGTGGCCAGAAAAAACAGGAAAAGGGCCCAAGTGTTCAGAAATATACGCACGGCTTGGTGAACAACCTTTCCTCTGGAGTGAGTTCTACTTTGGTCTGTAATTTGGTCTTTTAGAGGAGGATTTTTTAATAATCGTGTTCTGTACCCAGCATACAACATTACACACCCTAGAGTCAGGAGGAGCAACATGGACACCTGCAGGACCTCAGAGTTGTGGAAGACCCAGCATTGGTGAATCTGGTTGTAAGGCACATCCTCCAAGACAGGAATGAAGTCAGACAACAGGAAGACGTAGACAGCAGTGAGGTACCACAGGGAGCAGCTCACACATAAGTAGAAAATCCATCTGGCCCTGCCGGTGGGTTGCAACCTCTGAGTGACAGTGCAGAAATGATCCAAACCAGCCAGAACTACAACAGGCCAAAGTAAAGCACGGTAGACTTGTCCAAGGATTTGAACCAGCAAACATATGTGGTACTTGGTCAGCTTCAAGCCCAGGAGGATGACGTATCCATCAGCGTGGATGTGAAGGGTGGTGACAGAGAGGGTCAGGGTTATGTCGACGACGGCAAGGGAAACACTGAAAACTCCCAAGAAGCTTTTGCAGATGTGGTTCCTCTGGAGAAACACAAGGGCCCAGTTGAGCAGACATTTTCCTCCCAGACTGAGCAGGATGGAGGAGATGGAGATATTCATGGTGTGTTCATTGATTAGATACAGCTTCATACACATTAGTTTGATTTAAACAGTGATTACTGCAGTAATGTAGCCCACTATAGTTGTTTCAGTGCAACTGTTGCCAACCTCATAGCTGCCTTAATGTCCACACAGTCACAGTGTTACAAAGGACAGTGTTGCCTATAGATTTTATTCTGAGGATGAATCCACAATATCCAGGCATCGCTGTCTCTGTCCATAAATCGAAGACAGATTTATCATAAAAGCAGTCATGTTAAAGATCATGTTTGAGTAACGAATTTATATCAGGATTTTGTTTTTGTTGTTTTTGACTTCTGCAAATGAATGCGATCTGTATGTGCTTTGACATCGACAGTATGAATGAGGAAATGAAACTGCCACTTCAGGCTCCGTGGGAAAGGAGAAGTCAGAGAGAAACTCAGAGTTTGAAGTTAGCTTCACTGCATCAGTTGCCAGAATTTCTGATCTAGGGTTTCTCTCGGTCTCTGAAACAGAAAACAGGTTCAATATACTCAGTTTTCACTAATCCCACTTTCTGATAAGAGGCCCTGGATCTGTAAATGGAAAACAAAGAGAGTGGTGTGGTCCTTCCACATAACATTGTTCAAACCAATCAGCAATTGTTAGTGTTCATGTGCAGGAGCGATGGCGGGAGGGGGCAGTGGGAGAGAATTCAATACACCGGCACATTCGAACAAGTTGGAGTCCAGGCACTGTGAAGAAGGAGAGATGGCTGAGACACATCCAAAGAGGAAAGGGAAAGTTTTATGACCAGGCAAGGACAAAGGGAATTCAACGCTGGAGAAACCTCAGAGATTTGTAAAGTGGGAGCTTCTAATGGAACACTGACGGAGGGGCGTATTTGTTTGGCAATTAAGTAGAAATATCAACAATCCTGCACAGGTAGAGCACATTAGGGCGGGGACTGGTAATCACAAATGCAGGGAAGGCAGACGAAGACCTGGAACAAGACACAAGATGAGTCACTGAAGCACAACAGGAAGTGGTAACAGACAAAAACTGAACACATAACCTAACTGCAGGAGCTGGGCGTGACAGTTTTCAGGGCTTTAATATAAAATAAAATAAAATAAAATAGACAACTTATATGATAACCGTCAGTCTAAACCAAGCTCATTTCATCACTACCAAAGTTGACAAGTTGATAAAATTTTTTAGTCATTTAAAATAAGCTGTATTTTTTTAAATTGTATAAAATGCTAGATTAGTATGTTTGGGGTAAGATGTCCCCCCTAAGACACCTTGCTCCTTTATGCTTGATCGTTTGTAAGTTAGATGTTATTTAGACACTGGATCGACCCTTTAGCCAACCAGCAACTTCACTATCAGAATGTCTGAGGTAAAATTCTGAGGTTATAAGCTAACAAATGCTCACATTGCTAGCTAGCTGGCAAGCACGTATTTTACAAAAAGTTTGAGAAATAATTAATATTGGAAAGCTAATAACATAAGGCAAGACAAGTTTATTTCTAAAACATAAGTCTATAACCCCCTTGCTTTTAAACAGCTACAGTCTTACCCCAAGCTACCCTACATGTTACAAGTTTATCTTTCATTAACTGTGCACTGTCTCTACATCACAGTAACAGCTTTATGTCATTTGACTGCCTGGAGGGTAGCCAATGTTTGGTAAGGAGGGTGGGGGTGGGGGTGAGGGAAGGCAGTCGACGGACTGCTTTACACTGTGTGTGCTACAGTTCAGTGTGTTTCGCCACTGGTATTTTGACAGTGTCTGACTGAGCATTATGTCACAAAGTTACGCATCTTGGTTACGGAAGTAAAGGCTGAACTGCCTGAGCTGTTCAGAGCAGTGTTTTCTGTGGGAGATGGTAACTCCCTTTGAGGTGGACTTTGGGCTTTTTCCCTTTGCAAACCTATTACATGCACAAAAAAGGTATATAACACAACAAATGAAAGGGGAAAAGCCAAAAAGCATAAAACGACCTATTTAAGCTCCATGGAAATACAAAAAAAATTGGCTTAAAATAAAACCCCTTTTTTTCCACTACTACTGCCGACCTTATTTAAACATTTCCTGAGACACGGTACCATAGTGACATGGTTTTCTTTTTTCTTTTTAAACCCTTCTTCAGGTTAGCTCTAGCAGCATCAGGGTGTGTGATGTCTAGGCAGCTGAAATAATCAGAAACTGCTGTTTCCAAGGTGAAGAATGAGCACTCAATCTGTGCACATTTTCTTTTTATATTTATTTCATAGAAAATTTGCTTGCACACTGAGGAAAAAAAAAATTAAAGAGAGAGTAAGTGATTCTGAAGAAGGATTGTTGATATTTGAACTGCCGAACAAATACACCCATACCCATGGTTTTCAGGACGCCCTCGGAACGTGTAATATCACTGAGGTTTCTCCTGCATTAAAATGCCTTCGCTCTTGCCTTGTCAAAACTTTCTTCTCTCTTTATACTCTTTAGACCTTTTCCTCTTTGGCTGTTTCTTGTCCATCTCCTCCATGTATTTACATATGTACAGTAAATACATATCTATTTATATTATGTTCATTGTTTTTTTTTCTCTCTTGTGTCTGTAAAGCACTACACCTGTGACACATGGATCCAATTGCCAGTTTATTAAGTACACCCAGCTAAAAGAGTCTTGCAGCTAACCCTACCTTTATAAACACTGTTGTTTATAAAGGTAAACAGCTGTCATATCAGACTTCTTTAGTTTTAGCTAGGTGTACCTAATAAACTGGCAGCGTATGAATAAAGTTTGTCATTATTATCCATAACAGGACATAAAATATTTATATCTATAGAAGATTTCACAGTATTGTCTAACTCATTTTTGTTTTGGCAGCAATGAACTTCTTTGAAAGTTGGTGAGCATTATGACTAAATAAATTGTTTTTGAGCATGTGAAGCAGAATGGGATCTAAAGTTGCTTCTCATCCTGTGAACCCAGGAGTGAATGCTACACAGATAAAAACACACAGGCGTTTGAATGTCAACTTTTCTCTTCATTCTTTATCTGCACCTTCCTCTTGATATACGCTGCAGCTGTACCTCTATCAATGCACAGGTAAAGGCAAGCAGGTAGAGATGACCTTAATAGGAAGTTTATGTTGACCAAATATTTACGCAGAGAATCAAAGTCACATTTCACACTGTCAAATTGCCATTATCAGAGAGATAACTGAGCAAAAAATACAAATGTTTTTAGTACTTTGAATTAATGTTAATAATTACTTTTCAAAATTATGAATATGTTTCATTCATTTACCAAAGTCATTGTAACACATTATCATTACATTTCTCTTGGTTTGACAGGAGACGCAACACTCTCACGTACCTTTGGATTTATCTGAATCCAGACACCTGATGTTAAATGCAGCACTGCACAGTATGTCTGTCTCCGTTTCCTTTTATTATGGTTATTAAACATGCTGGATCCCATGTCGGTGCAGAAGAAGGTGTGGTTGAAAGAAACGGAAGACAGTTAGGCAACATGTGTTAGGCAACACGTGTCAGCTCTGAACAAGGGTTGTGTGTTGTTCAAACAGACTTTTTATGCAGAAAATCTCCCACATTAAACAACTTTACAGCACCAAGGATAATGTAAATGTCAATTATGGGCCAAAGTTCTAACTAGGTGTGGTTTCAGGATGTGAAAATGAGAGCCAGTTTTCATTCACTGAGTTAAACTTCAGTGCAAATATGTCCTAGTCCAAACATGCTAAGCTTGTGCTCTCCTGTCTAAATGAGACGTACTCTTTCCTCATTTAAAAATGAGCTCCCAGCAACTGGTCTTTCTATGAACTGTTTCATGAACAAGCCATGTAGCAGTTTCATTAGAGGCTCTTGTATTAAAATCCCACATACTCATTTATTTATTAATTTTTATAGTGTCTTATTTGTTTTGTAATTAATAACATTTTGGGTCCAACAATAGTAAAGCAGATGTGCAGAACTACAGAGCTAGATCTACAGAACTTGAGTAAATGTACCACTGGTTATATTTTTTCCAATATGGTTTACTACTTTTACTTGCTTCTTGCACCACTGATCTCATCTGCTTTCCACTTAATAAATAAAAAAGATTACATTTGCATTACAGTTATGCATTATTATTATGAACTAGCCTATAGTCTATGTGGCTTTACAAAAACAAGATAAAATAGTCAGGTAAAAGAACAACTCAGGTAAAATAAGATAAGCTAGTAAAAAGATAAATGACTCACTTAAAAGCACATTTGTATAATTGAGTTTTTAAAAGAGATTAAAGAGAGGAAACTGTTCTAGCTGCCCTGATCTCCCCAGGCAGGTCATTCGAAAGATCATTAGATTTAATTATTAATTCAGTTCATCAAGTTCAGGTCCTGAACCTGATAATTAATAATTCAGTTTATTTGTTCTGTTTACTTGATGAATCAATGATTTAGTCATACATAATTATAGTCATCTAGAAACTCATTTGTTTTCATGCTTTTAAATGTACAATTAAATGTCTCTTTAATTTGTAGGTAGGAAATAGATTTATAGAGAAAAGTACAACATATTTACCATTGGATGTGTGATATTAACATAATATATAGGCATTTAGTACAATATAATATTTATTTAGGCTTATTATATTAATTATACTGTACACAGGATAAGCGGTTGACGATGGATGGATATTAATTATACTATTATTGGTTTGTTGAAAAACAAACGGAGTGCAAAATATAGCAGCCTTTTATTATTAGTTATTATAATCAGACAAAACCCTTACAAAACTGTAGATTTCTGCAGTTACTGTATGGTTGTCTTTTTGTCACCAAACATGGCGCTGTTTGTTGACCTGAACACCCGTCCTGCGCAGAGATCCGCTCACAGTGAAGTCCCGGAAGCATTCCCCCCAACATCACTTCCCCCTACCAACGGTCATGCACTGTTTTGTAATATTTCAGCTTTTAGAGTTTGACACTAAGGTCTTTTGGTATCGTCCAAACACACTCCAGCCTTGATGAAGTAGTAACGAAATGAGCATGTGTGCTTCTCTCTGACACAGTAAGGCTTTACTTCGTTCAGACGTTCAGACGTTCAGACTGGGTAGCTACTTAGCTAACGTAAGTTAGCGTAAATGCTAAAAAGAAAGTTGTAACATTAGACCTTGGTTTGGTGTAGGTTGGGTCATTCATTAGTCAGATAGTTAAATGAATATTTAACTGTTAACTGTGTTTTGTGGAAAATCAATATAACGTTAACGTTAGCCTGTTTGCTGTAGGAGTGAAACTAAACTTTTGAGTGTAGAGCTGCAACGATTAATCAATTAGTTCTCAACCAATAAATTAATCGCCAGGTATTTTGATAATCAATTAATCAGTTCCAGTGACATTTTAAAGAGAAAATAAAGTCTAAATTCTGATTTCAGCTTCTGAAATGTGAATAATCTCAAGTTTCTCTAACGTTAGTCCTCAGTGACCGTAAACTGAATGTCTCTGGGATGCAGAAAAAACAAGACATTTGAGGAGGACAAATTGGTCTTTGGGAAACACTGATGACATTTTTCAACATTTTCTGACAATTTATAACTTTAGACCAAAAAAAAAAGATTAATTGAGAAAATAATCGAGCACATTGTTTGACAACAAATATTAGTTGCAGCCTTTCTTGTGTGATGAATAAATCGATTTTTCCATGTTAAACATTTAGTTACTCTAACTTTATGAAAACCAAAAAAGAAATGTAAACAGCCCATTCAGTACCTAACCTTAAATTAAGCCTTTAAACAGCCAGAAAACACAAGACAAAACTAGTTATCTATTTATGTGAAATGGATAAAGGCTGTCATCAAGTGACTATTATTTATCACTTAACCCCTTGAGCTAGGGCTGCAACTAACTAACTAAGAAACCAGAAGTAATTCACATTTAAGAATCTGAAATCAGAGAATTTGTACTACTTTATTTCTTTAAAAGATTACTTCACCTTGTGGTTCATACCAAGTAGTTAAACTACTGCGACACAGTATTACTTTATGAATGACACTTAAAATTGTTACATTTTAAATCTTCATAAGTAGACTGCTATGTTAAAAATCAATTGATCTGCTGATTGTTTTCAATTAATTATTGATCCTTTTGTCCTCAAAACCAGAGCCCAAGGTGTTGCTGTCATGATGTTTTTAAAGAGGTCATACTAGGCTCATTTTCATGTTCAAAATCTTACTTAGGGATTGCACCAGAACAGGTTTACATGGTTTCATTTAAAAAAAAAAAACACCATGGAGTGATACATTTTAACTCTACAAGATCTTTGTTGGGAGTTCCTAGTTAAGGACTACTAGCCAATGAGAAACAGAGTAGGGTGGGACGTGAGAAGCCGGTAAACACTGCTTCGTTTCAGCTGTTTATGTTCCCCTTAGCAACATGGACCAGAGCAAGAGTTGTGAGACATTAATTTGTTTTCAGGGATGAAAGGGAAACGGCTGGACTAGAAACCAGCTGTTTTCAGGCTGTTCAGAGCAGTGTTTTCTGTAGGAGATGGGAACTCCCTTTGGGGTGGACTTTAAGCTTTTTGACTTTGCAAACCTATTACATGGACAAAAAAGAACTCACTAAAGAAGAGGAAAAAAGGAAAAAAGCATATATGACCTCTTTAAAGTGCTTGTGCCAAAATGTACAGTGATATATTGAACATAAAAAAAGCAGCAAATCCTCATAGAAGTTGGAACCAGAGATGTTGGTATTTTAGCTTCATAAAGTACAAAACGATTAAATGATTATCATACTATGTAGAATAATTGTTGGAGTTTCATTTTCTGGCAGCTGACTACTTATTTAATCCACTAATCGTTTCAGCTCTAAAGTATTTTCAGTTAAAAAAAAAAAATCTCATTGTTCGTCTTCTTCTTTAAATTGTCAAAATATTTTTGTTCTGTTCCCTCTCCTCATTCACTCTCTGACTCGCTCGACCACCATTGCTGTTTCTCTCGCTCTGTGAGCCAGGGGGGAGGGCCCAACTTGGTGTGGTTTAGGGCTGCACAATTAATCGAAATCAGAAATTGGAATATGGCCTACTGCAATTTTAAAATCGCAGGAAGTGCAGTATTTGTTAAATGCAAAGTGCGTGTCATAATACCATTTTAAATGTAATATTGTCGTGTTGCAGAGTTGTACACTTCATATTCTACAGTCTTAAGAAAACGTCTTTGTTTGGTACGGATCCCAGCAAAAATAACATCATAAACATGTAAATAAGTTTATCAATGAAAATGAGAATAATTATGTAAAAATTATCATTCCCTCCAATATTGCAAATCATATCGCAAATGCAATATCAGTCAAAATAATCGCAATTAGATATTTTTTAAAAATCTTTAGGCTGTAGTGTGTTTACAAACAGGAGATGCTGATGTTCTCCCTTTAACAGATGTTTCTTCCCTGCAGAATGGAGAATTCAGAGGCCAGTCCATCATCGGGGCCCCTGGCAATGCCGAATAAAGGCATGGCGCGACCTTCAGCCCCCTCTGGTCAGCTGTCCGAGTCAGCCAGGCCCTCCAAGCACAGGGAGCACCCGTCCAAGTCACCACGGAGACGACGGAGGGGGATGAGATCACAGCGGCGGGGGGGTGGTCATGAACAGCTGCTCTGGGAGATCGAGCGGCAGAGGTTGCCGGGACAACACGAGCACTCGGAGCCTTCTGGCTCAGCAAGCGACACAGCGGAAAGCTCGCCTAAGAGGTTTGCTCTGCTGGTTGCCACCTGGTTGACCATGCCACTGTCTCAACTCTGTTGCCCCCGACGTGAGGTGATATTATCCTGACTTGTCCTCCTCTTTTTTCCCCCTCCTCACAGGAGAGCCCACTTTCTACATGGACCGTATCCAGCCACTCACTTCGGACCCAAAGCCTGTATTCTTCCCAACCCAACTTCAGTCATGTAAGCATAATAGTGCTGGATGAGTCAAACTTTGTGTGTACAAACTGTTTGTCAGGGACATTGACACAGAGAAGCTTACGTAACGGTGTGAGATAAGATAAAAATGAGAATGCTGTGATTGGATGTTCCATGAAATGGGATGGATAACAGAGCAGACTACAGATGCTTATTGTCGCCTGGTCTCAAGAGTGTTTCCATGGACTTGATCTGAAAACACAGACACAGAACGAAATTATCCGTACAATGCCTGTCATCCACCACGTGAAGGATGAGAGAAACAAACGGTAAAGAGCAGAAAGAAAGAGCTTGTTTAATTTCTGATGTTTAGAGTGTGGACGTCACTCCTGCAGACGTTACAGTGTCAAAAAAGTTAATGAATGACTGCAGCTGTTGGTACAATGTAGATTTATTAATCCAGAAAACAAGGTAACATCTGGTCAAAGTCTCAAGACAGTGTGATTATGTAACAGTCATCTGTTTCTAAAGATATTAGACATAACGTATTTAGTCTGTTTCTGTTTTTCTAACCTATTAGTGTGTTTGTTTATTGGTGTGTCTGTTTGCGTGTCCCAGGCACATCCAGGACCCAGCCAGCCAGCGGCTTACCTGGAATAAACCTCCCGTCAATGTGCTCATCATAAGGAAAATCAGAGATGAGAGCCTCGTCGAGCCTTTCAAAGAGCTCTGCAGGTTTCTAGTGGAGGTACAGAATCACATGATTTGATCATTTGTTTGTTTGTTATCATATACGTTTCCTGAGATGAATGTGTGATTAAGGAGGTTGACTTTGGCATCTAAAAACCATACTGAAAACAGATTCAAATTTTTCAGATGCCTTGAGACGCACTTGATTTTGGTTATTGCACACATTAATGACACATCACTTACTATTTCCACTGGACAATTGACCCAATCCTTAATGTTGTAATTATATAAATCTGAGTTGTACACAATTGAAGCTTAGAAATCTCAGCATGCACCGCAAGACTTTTTTTTTTGTCCCATGTTGACGTGTGGGTGTACAAACTACAGAACTGTTTACAGTTAGTTAGTAAGTTAGTTAGTTAAGTCTTTAAATTCCCATAGGAACATAGGCCATCGACGAAGCTCTTCCATCCTCTCCGGACTTACGCCCTCCTCTCTAGATGTTGCCACGTCAGCCCTTTCTTCTTTATCTCCTGTTCTGTGGTTCTTCTCCAGGTGGTTCTCGGTCTGCCTCTCTTCCTCTTGCCCTGTGGGTTCCATGTCAGTGCCTGTTTAGTGATTGATTTCTTTCTCCTGAGTGTGTGCCCTATCCACTTCCATTTCCTCCTCCGAATTTGCATTTCTATTCTTGTTTGGTGAGTTCCCACATGTTGGCGTTAGAGATGATGTTGGGCCAGTATATTCCTAGAAGGTGTCTGAGGCACCGGTTGATGAAGGCCTGCAGCTTATTAAGTATGGTGGTGGTAATTCTCTGGGTTTCAGAGCCATAAAGTAGAGTGGTTTTTACGTTTGAGTTGAAGATTTGCAGTTTGGTCTTGAGTGACAGGTTTTTTGCCTTCCAAATATTGTTTAGCATGTTGAATGTTGTCCTTGCTTTTCCGTTCCTGGCTTGGACATCGTCCTCCGTGCCACCATCCCTTGAGATGATGCTACCGAGGTATGTGAAGCTGTTTACATCCTCTAGTGCATTATTATCCATGGTTATGGGTGTGCTGTTCTTGCTGTTGATACGCAATACTTTATTTTTTGATGAGTTTATTTTGAGACCGAGCAGAGCAGCTGTTTCCTCCAGTTTTCCAGATTTTTCCTGCATCTGTTGGTATGTGTGAGCCAGTAATGCCAGATCATCAGCGAAATCGAGATCTTCTAGCTGCTCTGTCAGGTTCCACTGTATGCCGGGTTCGTCTGTTGTTGGTTGTTTCTTTCATCACCTAGTCTATGCAAAGGAGGAAAAGAAAGGGTGAGAGCAGGCACCCTTGCCGCACACCAGTCAGGACCTGTTTACAGACAAGGTGTAATGATCACAAGGTTATTCCGCTCAAAGAAATGATTGAGATTTACAGAAGCCACGAGGACGATTGTGAGGATGAAAAAAAGTAAATTAACCATTATCTGGCATAGTTGACTAAAAATTTAAACTGACTCTTCGAAAGTATTAAACAAAAATAATAGAAAATGTCCTCATCCTGATTATAAGCACACAGAGGGTGGGGAGTAAATATTTCCTCTTGCCTGTTGTTGACAGAAATGTTAGTTATGTTTTTGTGTCTGATTGCAGGCTTTCATTAAAGACATGAAAACACCTATAAACTAAAAGTTTGCGGGCAGGAGACTGTTTAATCCTTTTGTGGAGTTTCAGTCAGAACCATCAGACCTGTAGCAAACATCCATCCATCCATCCATGTTCATATAATTAATTATGTCACTTTCATTGTGATATACTGCTGGGAAGTACCGACAAAGTGATGAGAATAAATTACTCTAGGCTATATTGTCTCCATCGGACTTTCATACTTTGCCTGGTATGACTGTGAATCAGGTATTAAATTGCATTTAATGTGGTATTAAAAGGTAAATGTAATGCAGAAGCCTGGGTTTGTGTTGAGATGAGGGCTGCACGATTAATCTAATCGTCGTCGCAAAAAGTGTGCGATTTAATAAAACAGAAAAGGTGTGTGTGACGCTCGTCAACCAACCAATCACAGCGTGGATGGGGCGGAACATTAAAAAAGATTTGACTACTACAGCAGACTTTCAAATGATGAACAATATGATTATTGACAAGTTAGTCCTTAGCATTAACAAATTAGAGACCGATGTACACTGATCACACATTTCAAAATGTCAGTATATTGTGCATATTCCTTGATAATCAAGCAAGTAGACTCATACTACCATTTGTTCCATTATAATCGAATCGCAAATCGCAATAATGTCACAATATGACTTTTTATCTAAATCGTGCAGCCCTAGTTGAGATAATCTTGAATTTGAACTTAACATTCAAATAACTGTAAAATCACTACAGGTACTTGATATTGTTTTACTGCGTTAAACTCAGTACTGTAGTGAGAGATCAGCTGTATCGGCACCATCACCACCTCCTCCTGATGCTCTCTTTTTGTCTCATATCTTGAGAAAAGTTTTCTGACACAGGCAAAATAGCATGTGTGTATACCAAATTCAAAAATAGTTGGTTTCCAATGTTAGTCTACTGTATGACGTGTTCATTTACCTGTCAGTCAATTTGAGAGTAATACCAGGTTGCAGTTTTGTGTTCAGTTTAATCAGAGGGTGAATCTTTTGTTTGAATTTTGAGATCAGATTCTCCATTTCATTGCTTTCAGTTACAGTTTTGTTTGTGTGTACACTGAAGCATTTGTGGTACTGAAGATCGACAAGTCTTAACAAAAAGAATCCAGGAAATGAACCAGACATGTAGGTGAAAGTTGCAGTCTTGTCTCATGCACTTATGACACCTTTTGGCCACATGTTTCCAAAACAAGCTGTGCTTTGTACAACAAGGGCCCATTCCATACAAACGCAGTCATGTTAAACTGCACGTGCTTGGCATACGCTCAACTTGAGAGACGACCGTGCGCGCGCGTGTGTGTGTTGGCTGCCGTCACTAAAGCGTGTCTCTGTGCATCAGGAGAAGCAGATGATGGTGTACGTGGAACGCAGGGTAGCAGATGATGCTACGCTGTCAAAGGACGAGGCGTTCGGCTCCATCCGCAATCAGCTCTGCACCTTCAGAGAGGGTGAGACTCCAGCATGTCCCACCGCCTGTCACACGATAAAGACACAAGTATTAACACTGAACTAACATTTGTACACTGTGATGTAAAATATACCACTAAAGATAAAAGTTCTGTATACACAAGTTCCAGGTGTTAAATGTGAAAATTAAAGGTACTCCTTCAGAGTACTCCGTATGTAAGCTGTACTTTAATATTGTGGTGTTTAGGGTGGTTCTGCTGTTTGGTAGATTAAACAGCAGCAATACATAACACTTTGTGAGCTTTCAAAAAAGTAAACTGAAGAAAGATACTAGTATATCCATTATTATCCATTATTATTATATCCATTGTTAATTCTAGTTTTACAGCAAAAATGTAGTTTAGATCACATTAATACTATGGTCTTATGTTTTCTTACGTTGTTGCCATTGTTCTGCTAGATAACTATATTTGTCCATTTTAAATTTAAATAGCATGACAGCTTTTTCTTGCTGTAAACAGATGAAAGGACATTGTTATCAAGAAGTTTCTTATGTGCATACTACAATGCTGTTAAAATGAAACCAACATATTGAATGTAGCGGTGTTTTTTTCGCCTGCAGGTTATGATGATATCTCTGACTGCATAGACCTGATCATCTGTCTGGGGGGAGATGGGACTCTGCTCTACGCCTCCTCTCTCTTCCAGGTAATCACACTGTTATCAGTTGATCACTACAGGCAAGCTGAAGTCACACGGTTTAATAGTTTTTATGCTATGTACAGCTACTTTCAAAGGCAACGCTGTGTCCAAGGATGTATTCTTCTAAATCAAATCAAATAAAAATCTATTTCTTATATCTTGTCTTTTCTAACCATGGGGACTATAATACTGTCAAAACTACAGATCTGTGATTAACATATATTTTCGATGTGGTTTCATTGTACTTTATCCTTACTTTCCAAAGCTTTACTATTTTGCTTTCTTTTCTTGCTTTTACTTACTTTTTATTTTTAAATCCTATCCTCACTTTTAAATCCTATCCTCAAAAAAAGTGGAAAAAGGAATGCATTTTTTGTCTGTGATTCTGATTTAGTTGCACATTGTGTTAAGAGGCTAGTATATATGTGTCCTGAATATTTAGCAGACTGTATAAATTGCTCATAATAAGCTCCCCGGACTGTTTTTCTTTTCTGTAGGGGAGCGTCCCCCCGGTAATGGCATTTCACCTCGGTTCTCTGGGTTTCCTGACGCCCTTCAAATTTGAGTCATACAAGACTGAAGTGGCCAAAGTGTTTGAAGGTAGATTGGAGCTTTAAATGAAATATTGGTCTCCTGAAAGATCAAAGAAAAGTAACGTTCCCTTCTTTTAGTTGTCGAAATAGCTCAACACATGCCACTACAATAAGTAGATAATGTGTATGTGAGCGCCACGTGCGTGCTTATGTTTGTATGTGTATGCTGGTTTTCAGGCAATGCAGCCATCACTCTGCGCAGTCGTCTGAAGGTGAAGGTGGTGAAGGACATGCTTCAGAGAGCAGGCCAGCAGCCGTATAGCCGGGAGCCGCAGCAGGAACACAACGGGCTACTTCCTCATGGACACACAAACAGCGAGGCCGGCAAGGTCACCCTGCAGCTACAGGTGAGGACAAAGACATCCTTGAGACCTCTTTGTTAAAGTGTCACAGTGGTCATTGCCTTTGTTTATGAGGACCCAGGTGCTTCTTGAGCTAAAAATAAATAAAGACACAGCAGGATTTCAGGAGCATAAGAACCTTACCTAAAAACACAGCAAACCACACACATTAATTAGCTCACATTTCCGCAGTCTTTCACAAAAACACAAACACACACACAGCAAGTGTTTTCTGCTATATTCTTGGTTTTATGAATTGTACCTTTTTCCTTTTTATTACTTGATGCTTTGACAGTATTGTCTTTTGTTGCACACTAAGCAAAGTTAACTGAAATTAAATTGAATGTAAATGCTCTGTATTTATATAGCACCTTTCTAGTCTTTGCGACCATGCTTTTACACTGCATAGCATTCACCATTCGCTCACATTCCTAAGTGCTCAAACAGAAACTAACATTCATACACTGGTGGAACAGCCACCAGAGGCCTTTCGAGGTTCAGTATGTTGCCCAAGGACACTTCAATATGCAGCCTGGAGGAGCCGGTGATTGATCCTCCGATCTTTCGACTAACAGGCAACCCGCTCTATCTCCTGAGCCACAGCCGCCCATGTGTATAAGAGCACAAGCGAGTGTGTGTGTGTGTGTGAGAGAGAGAGAGAGAGAGAACAAAGTGAGCAAATAAGAGAAACAAATTATGTTAAAGCAACATTATGCATTATGCAACATATAAAATAACAGCTGATGGAGAGCGACGCCGGTGTCGTGCCTGTAACATAACCGGGCTCAGCAGCCTCTATAGACATAACGTCAGCTAATGGCAGAGTTGAAGACTTGAAGAGGACGTAGACGGAAGAAGCTAAGAAGAGAAAAAGAAAGTGACCAATCTTGAGGCTGATAGTTTCATCAAAACAACATACTGAGTTGGGAAACGATGTACTGAAGAGAGAGAAACAACCTTAAGTCACTCAGAAGATCGTCTACTTTGGAGAGAGTTTTCTGTGTCCTTTTCAACCCTTTCCTGTCTCCTTTGCATTCATTGATTCATTAGATCCACGCAAACATAAGCGTCACACAACAGTAAATACAAACAGTTGTTGTTTCCTCGTTTGTGAAAATTGCGCCTCAAATGATACGTTTTTTTATCAGTTGGACTAATCTTTATGGTTCTTCAGATCCAGTGGAAACACAAACAGGAATGTTTAAAGAAGGACTTTAAGTTTCCCAGTTTAGTTCCTAGTTCAGTTTGTCTGGTCCCATAGTCTTTGGAAATATTTGGTTGAAAAGGGCTCGTGTGAGCGCATTTTGTCCTCTTTATTAATTCCTGATCACACTCCTAAAATGACGCTGTAAAGACGATGGAGGCTCTGTGTGTGTGTGTGTTTCCATTTCATCCTGGGTGTGTTTGTGGGTTCATACATGTGTACAGCTCATTGGGCCGGGTTGCCATGGTGGCAGTCATAATAAAGCCGCTGGGGCAAATACATGGGAGAGAGACTCGGATGTTGTGAAGTTCTTTCAGAGCCAGTTGCCACGGAGACTGTGGCATCAACAGCGCTATCCACAGCGAATGGATATTTAATGAGCGTTGACACTCTCGGTCTGACACACTCTGTAACTAAACAACATGCCTCACTACTGCAGTCATACTTTTCAGTGCAACGCTGTCCTCTTTCTCCCTGGGTTTAAAAAAAATAATTTAAAAAGTTTTGTCTCATCAATAGAAGACAGTGATGGACTTGTTCTGGTCTCTGAACTTGATCTTGACCTCGGATTACATCACATCTGCTGAATCCAGCAGGATGTTTGCTCTGTGCTAAGCTGACGTCAGTACATCTGCCAGACATCACTGCTCTGCGCCGCAGTGCTGTGAGACTGACTGAAGTGTGGAACATGATTTGTATGCGGCTTGTCAGCACACCAGCATGTTTCACTGCTTGTAGTTTCCTGGTGTGATGTGGGGTTGTAATGCACTGTAACCCTGTGCCCATCGCTGGCTGATTTAGATTTCGTTTTATATTTTCTGTCTGTGAAAATGAATTACATATCGAAGACGGCCTTATTGTGCTCCGCACCGTATGAGGATATGAGCAAAATGTAATAATGTCATATTATTGAGTGGCTACATACAGATTTTCCACATTATACAGCACTGCAGTTATACTTCCTTTATCATCTCAGCCACACAGGTTGTGTTTTGAGTTGTTTACTTGTTTGTTTGTTAGCTGGATGTCTCAGAAATGGTTTAACAGATATGAATAAAATTCTGGTTCTCCTTCAAGCCATAGGTGAAGGACAAACTTGCAGTATATTGCACATACAGTATGTAGATGCACATAAACACATCAAAACATTTATAGCATTTGGCCTATAGATGGCACTGCAGTAAGATGATTAATTTAAATGGTCCTAAGTCTGATTTATATATATTCCCAAGGAAGATTTAGGTTTTCACAGTCAACTTGATCACTATTTTGAGACAGATTCAGATGAAAAACTATTGAAATCTAAAATTGGAAGATTGTGCAGCTGTGGTGGACTTATGTGCTCTCTGAGTGCCCTCTTATCTTTATCCTGTCTGTGCATATGGTTCGCAGGTGTTGAATGAGGTGGTGGTGGACCGAGGCCCGTCCTCCTACCTGTCCAATGTGGACTTGTATCTCGATGGGCGACTCATCACCTCGGTGCAGGGAGACGGTAAGGGCCGTCATACACGTGTTCCTATGAAGTGATGTGACTCTTTTGTCTTGATTTGTTTTTTCATCAAAGTGAAGCAAAGTACAGTTTCTTTTTTTCACAGTAGGTTCACAACAGATAACGTGGACAGGGAGAGCAGTACAGTTGAGGCAGATAAATTAATAGTGTAAATGTGAGAAATGTCCTCCTTCTCTCTGTCCTCCAGGTGTGATTGTGTCCACACCTACAGGCAGCACAGCATATGCAGCTGCAGCCGGAGCCTCCATGATCCACCCTAATGTACCCGCCATCATGGTCACCCCCATCTGCCCACACTCACTCTCCTTCAGGCCTATCGTTGTCCCTGCTGGGGTGGAGCTCATGGTAAGAAAGGAGGGGAGGAGGCAGGACTGAGCGTGGTGTATACGTATTGTTAACAGATAGCGTGAGCGTTCGTAGGCCGTTGGGCCATCAGGAGCTGCCAGAACAGCTTCAGTAACTAAGATTCTCCAAGGACTGTCTAATATTTTAGTTATATCAGTTGTTTGGCATCTGAATTTGTTACATTTCTCCAATCATTCACTCTTTTCTTCGAATTAATATATTTATATTTTTTGTTTATTTACAGTGGTTCAGTTTTTTTTTCTTTCTTGTACTGTATAGCAGGGAAACACTAGCTTCATACACGCCACACATAAACTGTTTACTTGTAAACTAATTTAAATCCTTAAAAGGCACTCTTAGTTATCAGGGGGGTTTCTTTTGCCTCCCTGTCTTCTCTGTCATAGTTGTGGTAAGACATTTCCATCAATCCCTGTTAACGTTTGACTGCCCGTAGCACCGTGTGTTTTTTCTTTAGAGGCACAGTAGGGTTCAAGGTGCCATTCTGTACCTTAGCTGAGCCGCATACATTTCTCTCTTATACAGATGGTTGACAAAGTAAAGGAAAAACCAACATCAAATGTCGTAGTATGGAGTCACTCCACCACGAGCCTCCAGAACAACTTCAGTGCTACTTGCAAAGTCTGTGGTAATCTGTTGGAGGGATCAACACCTTTCATCCACAAGATATCCCCTCACTTGTATGCACAATGTTTTATTTAATCAGGTAGTCTCATTGAGATCAAGATCTCTTTGGTAAGAGAGACCTGAGTGCAGGAGATAGAAAGAACAATATCCAGACATAACAAAAGGATATATCCGTCACAGACATCACTAAGTAGATTAGAGCATTTGGTTTCATGGTGATGGTGGTGGAGAGCATTGTCTTAGATGATGGTCTGAAATCATCCACAGGTGTCATGTGAAGGCATCATTTATCGGCCCAACCCTAACGACCAATATATCTGAATATCAGCTTTTAAAATGAAATATCAAAATCAGCATCAGTCTAAAAAAAATCCCATGTAGGCATTTTATTCACGCCATTTTCAAACTCTCCAAACAATTCAGTGAGCCCGGGTGCACGGAAGCATCTGCATTTGATGTTTTTCCACTCTTTTATACAGGTTTTGCCTTTAATTTGCTCCCGTCTCTAGCATGAGTCTTAGCCCTGTTATAACGCTTCTCCCCCAAAACAGATCACCTTGTCCCCTGATGCCAGGAACACCGCCTGGGTGTCGTTTGATGGCAGGAAGAGACAGGAGATCCAATATGGAGACTGGTAAAGTTCATTATCAGCTGCTGCGTCATTATACAGATTTCTTTTTCCTCAATTTAGGATTAATTGGCTTTTTGCTTTTCTCCCAACAGTATCAAGATCACTACGTCTTGCTACCCAGTGCCCTCCATCTGTTGCCATGACCTGGTGTACGACTGGTTTGAAAGCCTGGCTCAGTGTTTGCACTGGAACGTGCGCAAGAGGCAGGAGCGGCTGGCGGACATCTCGGACTCGTCAGACACAGAAAACTGAATCAGCGGATGCTCTTACTGGCCTACATTGAAGTCACCCAGTCGACCTGAGAGTGAATGAAGTCGCCCTGCAAACATTTTCAGGACAGAAACACTGCACTGTGAAAGCAAGAGCACGTGTGTCTACAGCCAGATTAGTGTCACGTAGTCCTATGAATAGCACTTACAACGAGCATACTGTGTATACAGTGTTTTATACAAGAGTCACACATGCGCGTAGCATCTCATTACATTCCAGTTCCTACACAATTTAAAGCGAGAGAGCATGTTTCTCACCTAGAAATGGTAAAATAAAAAACTCTTGCAGCCACTTATATGATTACAGTATATTAATATTCTGAATGAATACTGTTTTTATCACCACCGTGATGATCTGTGTGTGAGATGTAGGTGTTACTGACATAAACTCAGTAGGATTATAGATAGAAAAACACTGATACATTGAGAAAAGGACTGTAAATGTGTACATACAGGATTTGGAAATATATTTATTTTATGTCCTATTAATGTGATATTTATGTATTTTCAAGATGTGCTTTAAGACTTAAAACTGAATTTCTGTTATTGAGTCAGCCAAAAACTGTTGCATGTGATAGTTACTATAAAGAGTTCAGTTTCGTTTCTGCCCTTGTTAAATTAAGTTTTAGAACAAAACAAAATGGAACGAGTTGGAGGAGTTTCCACCAGTCACGCTGTTTTCATGGTCAATTAACTGTCGAAGTGAAATAAAATAAAAGTCTGTAGTAGAAAGGAGTAGAATTTAAAAAAATTAAACGCTTGCTAACTTTCTGTGTGATCTTTGTGTGAATCCAAACTGAGTCATCCCATTTTGCAAACCCATTTAAGGCAAAAGAGTTTTTAACTCCAGCTACAATAAAACAATTTCTGGTTTGACATTAAAATAAAGTACTGACTTGCTGCAGGAGTAACCAGAAACACTTTCAAAGTTTAATTGCTATATGACTCCTATTTAATCTAGAGTTTTAAAAAACATTTAAAATTATTTCAGCACTTCTGGACATCCTGATGTCTAACTGCAGATGAGGAGCGGCTGTGGCTCAGGAGGTAGAGCCTGCTAATCTGCATGTCAAATCGTCCTTGGGTGAGACACTGAAGCTCAAAGCCAACAGTCGAGGGACAGACTGCCTGCAGGACAGAACAGGTTCACTGTTGAGAGGAGAAACAAGATATGTTTCCATATCTGCACCTACAGGGCTGTCTCTCGTCATGTAGGCAAAAAGGTCAACAAAGATGTAGGTGAAGCCTTTAGTAAACAAAAACATCTGTAATTGTTAATTGATCAACTGACAATTAAATAAATATCAAATAATCAAATAATATTGATAATCACAGTGTTAAAATCATTTGCATTTAAGGTTCTTAAATGTGAGAATTTGCTGCTTTTCTCTGAAACTCGTGCGTACAAATCCTTTTTTGAGTTCAATACTGCTAATGGGAGCTTATAGAAGAAATGATTAAATATGAACTTCAACTCCTTTTCAGTTGCATTAATATTATTGACATCCCTGCAATAGGTTGATAGTAACCACACACAAGTTTCAGGTATTTGTGAACCTTCAGTGTACAGTTTGAGATTATTCGTCTTTAAACCTCTCTTCATACCTATTAATAAATGTCATACTGGTATTCATTTATTTTTCTCAACAAAAAGATTGCAGAGCATCCACACTGCGTTATGTCCCACCAAGGACTAGAATGCCGAAAGAAAAGATTAAAGTGCGACAATACTTGTGCTTTCAATATTTTTATTGCAATGATAAGATACAGATATATTTCCAGACATCCAGTTTTATTAAATTATTCTCCAATATTGCATGAGTCTTCAGAATGACACTGATTCAACTGTGGACAACTAGGTGATCAAAAGACACGTTTTTTTTTGACCACCACATGAATGTTTTACAGTTTCACTTTTTGATTTCCCCCAGAAATGTGCGATGAGAAGCAGCAGCATAGAGAGTAATAATACTACAATATACAAGAGACCGATACTGTGCAACAGTCACGAACAAGTGTTTCGTGAAATGGTTATGCCAATATTGAGTACAGCGACTGGCAACTCAGGACAGAGAGTTGCACTTTGCCCGTTTGGGGAAGAAAAAAAAACAAGAACAAAGATATTAGAAAAGAAACAAGAGCAACAACGTGGTGGTGTGAGAGTCGAAGAGCTACAAGCCTCAGCGGGATTACAGGAGAACAAACTACTAAATTCAGACTAGGTGAGTTCATTTTCAGGCAAAACAAACTGACGACTGTACAGAAAGCTGTGTGGAGTATATTCAGATATTGTTTCACTGTGGGGAGACTTTTTCAGATTATGTGGGAACCAACAGGTTGCTGTCAGTGTTGCACAAGCCACTGGTGTTGTAAGACCGGGTTAATGACTCACCGTTGTCGAGATAGGCAACGTGGCAGGCCCACAACAAGCCAACCGGTCACACATTCAGTGTTACGGCAGCAAATGTAAAAAGAAAATACAGAAATATGCTGCTATCTAAGAAATTCCCACTGTTTTCTAATCCCAGATGTCACCTTTAAATAACGAGTACACTCTTAATGAATCGTATAAAAACAAAAATGAACATTACAAACAAAAAAAAAATTGTATACCTCCTAATACAAAAGAAAATGGGAGAAAAGCTGTTTTAGTTTCTTAGACTACATTTGTGTATATATATATATTTGATATATCAATAGAATCCATATATAAATGATACATTTCTATTTTTTTATACTTAAATATAATCCTCGCTATGACTAAAAGGAGCATCTAAGACAGTATGTAATGTGAAGGAACAGCTTGGACCACATCGGCCGCCAGTTACTGGAAATGAAACTGTAGTCTGGTCAGTGGAGCTGGATTTGTGACGCGCGCCCGCTGTTTTCACACGACAGCTCGTGTGTGTGTGTGTGTGAGGCTAGACACGACTGGTTTGGGCGCGAACACCTTTTTAAACGGTTTCATTGAGACCAAAAATGTTTATTTAGCTACACACTAACAACCTTGTGCTGTGTTTTTTTAAAATCTTTATTTCCCCCTCCCCAAAGACGTGAAAGGTTTGAGGAGTTTGACACCGCAGTTACAAAATGAACAAACTGACCAAAAACTACCCCTTGCTCTCACACCCGACTCTCCCGTTTTAAATCAGCACTCATAAACATCATCATTATTAGTTGAGTTTGGCACTAGAGTTTAGCTTTACTGTATATCTGGTTCTGTTTGCAAATAGACAGTTATTGTCTTCTAGCTTTTGTTGCACAACAAATGCTGCAATCCTTTTAAAAAAAAGAAAATCAAGTACCCCAGCGGTGTCCCAGTTGCTCACTTGTATTCTTAAAGATGAGTCCCACATTAAATATGAACTAGAAGTACTTTAGACTGTGGAGAGGACTGCACTATGATTAGTCATTAAAAAAGAAATGTGTTGTTTCTTACTGAAAATGGCAAGTACCTCAAAGAGCCATACTAATCTCCAAATACTCCATCCAGCCACAAGGTAGATTTTTTTAGGTTCCTTCGAGTAAACGAAACAGGATTTGGTCCACCTGGCTTAGTTCAGGTTTCAAAGCAGACACTTGAAGCTGTTTGCTTCAAGGGCAGCCTGAGAAAGCTATCAGACTCACATGGGTGAATGAACAGGGGCTTTCTCCAGAACATCAGTGATTGTACCTACAACATGGAGTTCAAGGACAACAACGAAACCAAAAATAAAAGAAGCGGGGGGGCAAAGACACCAGCACGCCTTCTCTTACTGGTCACTTATAGCATGATAGCTCTTCTCCGTCATCTGTATCTACTATAGTGTGGCCAGCTATTTGGATTTGACCTCACATACAAAACATACAAATGTAACCAATCACGGGGGACATAAATAAAACATTCTGAGTTGAAAGGACACAAAAAAAGCTACTTGGTGACATGAGAAACCAAAAAAGAAAGAAAGAAAGAAAGAAAGAAAAAGCAAGCCCTGCATCGGGGCTGCTGGGCTGTTTTGACACCTTCTTTAGGCAAACATGTGGGTGGCAGTTTTCATTTGAACACAAATAACATTTGGGTGGGAGGAATCAGATCTACCATTAAGGCTTCTTCTTCTTTCTTAAATTTTGCTTTCCCCATTGTCGTAGCCGTTGACATTTCACTGTTATGTCTATCCAGGTACTGGTCCTATTGGTACTGTTTTAGTGGAAGATCTCAACAACGAGAGATGGAGCCTCTCCTCGGCCTCTGCAGGCTCAGAGAGGCCGGACTAGCAGGTCCTGGGATCACAGGAGGGAGGAAGGTAGGGAGGGAAGGGCTGAGAGAGAGAAATAGAGAGTGATGGGATTGTTAAGAGGTTTATGTTTCAGCAGTCTGGGGTTTAGTCTCACTCTCAGCCCCTTCTTTTCTCTCTTGCGTCTCCTCCTCCTCCTCTTCCTCCTCTGTGTGCTGGTCCAGCTCCTCCCTGGTGATCATCTCAAAGTCGTTTCCGTTGCTGTGCTGCGAGCCTTCGTCCTCCCGCCGGTCGCTGTCTGTGTCTGAGTGGTGATCCGTTCCCTCCCCCTCCGCTTCTTTACTCTCCTCTGGCCCCGCCTCTTTGCTCTCTTCCTCTTCCTCCTCCTCCTCCTCGTCGTCGCCGTCCTTCTTCTCGCTGTCCGACTTCTCGTCGCTGTCTGACTTCTGAGCCTTGGTGGAGGCGCCGTTGTCCCTGTCGTCCGTCTTGTCCGAGCCCTTCTTGTTGCTGGCTCGTGGCCCTTTGTACTCGTGAGTGTAGAGCGGCCTGAACGAGTCGATAAAACCCACGTCTGCCGTCAGGTTGGGGAGGAACCAGAAGTGGTGTCGCCCGCCGGTCACCACCCAGATGATCAGGAAGAGGATGCAGCGGGCTGAGGAGAAAGAGAGACCAACCAGTGGGATCAATTTTAAAGGTGTTATACAAATAGAGCAAATAATTCTGCAACATTTTATTGCAATTAATAAAAGTAAATGAAGGTACACAGGTCTACAGGTATGAATGTATCATTCTTATCCATGCTATGCTGTAATAGTACACATTGTACTTTTATGTTGCCTATGGGAGTGCAGGTTTTATGTATTTTATAGTAATATGCTTCATTTTACCATATTTTATACACATGTTTTTTTATTGTCTACCTTTAAAAAATCTACCTTTACAAGATAACAATGTCCATGTTCTGAGTGACATTGTCAGAGAGGTGTTAATTAAACGGTATGTTTACTAATGAGATCTTATGGCCAGTTAAATTGCTGAGTGACTCATTCTCTGTTTTTTTCCACCTCTCACTGCTGTGAAAGCTGTTAGGCATTTTAGGCAAAGCCTTAACGTTGACTGAAACACTTTTAGATTTTAAAAATCTTTATTTGTGAAAATGAAAAAAAAAAACCCCGATTTATCTGCTTTTTTTTTGCATGTAGACCACATTAGACCAGGTCTAGATCCAAAACCACTATACCTAGAGCTCTCAAATCTGGACTAGATTATTCCACAGAGGCTAAAGTTTCAATCAAATATAGTGTCAGATTTGTGAAACTTTTATTCAATTTTTGAAAATACTTTTAAGCACGATTTATCTGCTTTTTTCCATGTAGAACACATCGGACCAGGTCCAGATTCAAAACCACTGTACCTAGAGTTCTCAAATCTGGACTTGATTGTTCCACACATGCTAAGGTTTCTTTAAAAAAAACGTTTCAGATTTGTGTAACCTTTATTCCTTTTGTGAAAATACGATATTCATTTACATTGAAGTCTAACTACGTTTTTTTTTAATTACTTCACCATGACAGCCCTAAGTAGTAGATGTCTTGTAGGAAATATTTTCAGAGGTCCCAGTGAGGTATTTCTTTATTAAGTACATGTACTTACCAACAGCAAGAAGCAATATACTGGCCACAAAGCAGCCTGCGGCAACACTTAGATAGTAAACTCCTACACGCATTTCCGCTGGCCACAGTGGGAACAGCGTGGCTGCTATTACTGCAATGACTGAAAGACAGAAAACACACACACACAGAGTGTGAGTACAAAAAAGTAAATCAGCCAGTAACTGATAACCCTCCATTCAGTTGTTTTATGATTTACACCCACTCACCGAGTATCAGTCCCATGGCAAATGTTTTGAAATGAACAGGGTCGTAAATCCACACATATACCTAAAGAAAAAGAGGGTTTTTATGTCATGTAGGATCACAAACGCTTCTCCTCTGTATGCTTGTTCTCCAAGCACACTCACCTCATTTCCATCTAGAAATAGCTGGTCCTCATGAGGCTCCAGTTTGAACTTCTTCTTCACTTCTTTCTTTTTCTTGGGGCTTCCAGGACTGTCATCCTGATCAAAACAAACATATTTTACATATGAAATCTGTGTTTTACTTACAAGTCACATTTTCTGGAGTGACAGTGTGACCTACGTGTTGGTTAGAGAGGCAGACCCTGGACTGGAGCTTCCTGTGAGGTTTTACATTAAAGCAACCACACTACACCAGTTTTTAACTGGTTATGAAACAATCTCAATTTTATACCTCTGTATGACCTACATGCAAAAGCATGTGAGACCACCAGCAAGAAGAATGGCAGAAGAATTTCTATACTTGTTTTAAATGCCTGGTGCAGATTCCCCTCAGACAAAACGATTTACAGCACGCAAGAAAGAAGAGCATATGTTTACATTTTCCTAGGTGAGGTGTCACAGTTAAAAGGAAGCAGGAGGACATTTTCCTTTAAAGAAATGTTTTGATGTTCTATTTTGTGGTTCTGGCTGATACTGGGGCAGGATGAGCAAAGAGGGAAAAAGGGCGAAAAACCAACCAAGCCAACCTTGGTTTGGCCTTCAACAAATGGAGAGAATTGGCTCTCTTCCTCCTTGAGAGGTATGTGTCTATTTTATTTGGCTGTGTACAGTCCTTGGAGATATAGGTCACAGTGGACATAATACAACTGGCTTATAATGTAACATTTTTAAGACATAACATTACTAACGAATGTTGATAACTTTACCTTTCTCAACAAAATCTGTTAGTAGTAGGTTTACTTAACCTAGGTGTATGAACAGTGCTGGAACAGTTTACTTTGTTACCATCAGTATATATTAAAGTTATTAATCTTAAGGATCCACAAACAGATGCATTACCTCATCTCTGTGCATCCTGCAAACAGCTGTGTTTAAAAAAAAACGTAGTACTAAAAAATGTGTTGCATCTTTCTTTCACTTGCTTCTAAAACAAATGCACGCAGTTTGTTATACCAGCTGGCCACACTATTAACTCGTTTCACTGACGCAGACCAGACACCGTGAACACATTGTGCTCCTTCTATCCATGACTAAAGACCTGTCAGTCGTTGCACTTTAAACCTGTGCAGCAAAGTCAATATCCACCCATTTACTGTCAGGGTAGGAGGTCGACCAGATCAGTAGCATCAAGGCAACGCTGACCGATCAAATAAACAAACACACAGAGCTGCAATCAGTGTGTGAAATGTGCAGCACTGGTGACTCTGACTTTTTTTTTACCCATTGAAACATGCTGATGTTTGACAGTTAAACGGTTTCAAGCCAATGAATTTGGTAGATTTGTACCCCAGTATTCATGGTATTTCTAATGGGAGATGTATCGTTAACACCTTTTACAGGAGAGGCACAAAACAGTCATGACACTGACAGGTATAATCTGAGGAGGGAAACAGTGTTGTGTCACGTACGCTCTTCTCTTTCTTGGTTTCAGCCACCTCGGACTCTTTCTTCTTCTCTTTCTCCTTCTTCCCTTTTTTCTCCTCCTCTTTGCTGCTGTCAGCCTTGGACTTCTCCTTCTCTTTTTCCTTCTCCTTCTCTTTCTCCTTCTTGGTGTCTTTTTCAGGTTTTTTCTTCATCACTTTGAGAGCTCGGTGGAAGAACTGCTTCTTTAAGAGTCTACAAAGGATGGAGGAGAATGAAAATGATTAAGTTTATATCAATAGTGTTTAAAAGGGATCTCAGTAAATGTGCACAGACTCAGAGGTGAAGGTTTTTATCCCAAAGTACAAATATTTTTTTGAGAATTGACGAATTGCTGAAGCAAAAAATACCAAAAATGCATTGGTCCCCGCTTGTCAAATGTAAATATTTGCTGGTTTTCTTCATCTACGAATGTAAACTGAATATGTAGCAATTTGATGTAAAATTTGGACAGTTCATTCATCATTTTCTGTCATTTTATAAACCAAACTAATCAGTTCCAGCCCCCACATACCCGTGACCATATTACGAGCCTATGTATCAAATGCTTAGATGCCTTGTTTTGGAATCAAATCCTGCAAATGGTTCATCTACAATATCAGAAGTGTAGCAGAGCGTGTTACTCAGCTGACCTGTTGCAGTAATCCACTACAGACTCCCTGGTGGTGAACAACGCCTCCTCTCCCTTCTTAGCCTTGGCCCACTTGGAGTCCAGCAGACAGTCCACAGCCTTGGAGGCTAAATTTAGTGTCACAAAGATGTAAAAAACACACAAAAAAACCCCACAGAGTAGTAATGCAGTGAGTATCCTGCTAAACAGTGTCTTTACAGATTGTATCAGATGAGCAGAAGCTGAAAACGGCCTTGGTCTATAAACTGAATTCAAAACAGAACAGATGGCAGTATTTTTGACTTGCAATAAATGATCATTTTGGCCACCTAGGTTGTGAACTCAGAATTGACACATCACCACCTTTTAAGATGATATGCTGAACTTGTTAGCAAACAGCAGTTATGGAACCAGTTTGGAGTCATGTTTGTAAACACCTTACTCATTTAATACTCACTCTCTTTTGGTCACCAACTCTTGAGAGAAATATCTGGCACTAGCTGATAAATGCTCCACTATGTTCACCAGCTAGTCACTAACTGTGTCTGTCTGCTGTTCGGCGCTGAGCAGTTAGTGTACATTGGCTTTTTAAAGCCCGCTGTGGCTGAAAAGAGGCGACGACCTCTGACATGTATAGCAATTTTCAAAATTTATCACTTTGGATAAAAGCATCAGCTAAATGAGTTAATGTAAATGCTATGAAACCAGTGAGAGTGAACCGTAACAGTAAAGTTGTGGGCCGGATAGCTAAACAATGAGCTGAAACTCGATGTAAAGCCGAGGCGCGCTGCAGAGTTATGTAGGGGGTGTGACAAGACACTTAGCTCACGAGACGAGGCAAGACAAGACACGAGATTGGGTTTGCGAGATCAAGACGAGACGAGGTTTTAACACTATTTTTAGGAAATCTTCCATGCTGAATTATAGGAACATTTTGAGCGTTCAACAGTTAATTTCCTTCATTCTGGTAAATCCTCCTGCACCAAAAAAAATATGGTGGAAATGTCTTTATTTATGTAAAGGGAAACACTAAATTCAGGTGTCAAGTGACAATTCAAAATCTAAAAATATAACAGAACTAATGCTGGGCAACGATTAAAAATTTTTATCGCAATTAATCGCATAGTTATGTGCAAAATTGAAATTCTTGTAAATCTCAACTTAAACTTTAATGTGATCAAATCAAATATTAAACCAAAGCTATTTGCCACTTCAGGGCACTACCTTTTATCCAGCTTGTTAAAATAAGTTACCATCAGAGTCCAGAGCCACGATCATATCATCATAACAGGCACCTTCTGAGCAACAGGTTAACATACATGAATCTATTTTCTTGGGGGTTTTTTTCCTGACAAAAGAAAAATGTTCCTGCTGATACCTGGTCAGAAGAAACTTTTTTCTTTTATCAGGGAGCAGCAGAAACAATTTATGTTCAGTAGCAAGTGTCCCTGTTAGAGCGAGGTGAAGTGGTCGTTTCACGCACATGCCCACCACCGAAGTTGAATTGTCTTGGAAGAGGGACTGATCCTTGCTGTTTGAGAGTTTCCAGAATCTATGTCTTTTTACTAAATAGGACATCAAGAGGAGGGAATTTGCATGGCAGAGCCGCAAAACTAGATGAAGGCATATATATATATATATATATATATATATATATATATATATATATATATATAGACATCTTCCTCAACACTAATCAGCATGCAGTGTGTCGCTATCCACTTTATTATGGCATTTGATCAGTTGTCTTGCTTTTGTTAATCTACATCTTTTATCTATCTACATCAACACGGTTTTTAACCTGACGAGACATCTCGTCATGTTTTCATCTCGCGATATAACATGGCACGAGATCTTGTCACACCCTCTACATTTAGGTGATAATTTTTTTAGATTCATCAGTAATAGTGACCTCTTTCACATTATCATTTAATATAACTGTAAAAATATTGATCATAGCTGCTTTAGCAATGTCTACTCAGTCATACCTTACTCTTCTCACAACTACTGAGTAAACAGCATTTCCCAAAACTGACATGTGGTTTCTGGCATGCCACAGAACAAGACAAATATACTGTGTGGGACGGCAGGTCTGCAAATTGGACTGCAGCGGAAACATTTGTTTAAGAATCTGACAACTCTTCAGCAAGGTGGTACAGATCTTGCCCAAAAAATACTAATGTGAAAAACAACAACATAACAATTTTTTTTATTTACTGCAGCAAAAGGGTTAGGGTAAATCAATCAAATGAACACAACTGTCTGTGTGTGCGAAAACAAAACAAGGGGGCAGGGATCGATGGTCGTCTACTCCACCCGCTGCCTAGGCGTTGTGTTTTGTCTGTTGCCTCACATCCCACAGTTGAGCACTAACCAATAAAGTAGTCGACTCGGTGGCCCATCATGTTCGTGGACTTGGTGGGGCAGTTGAATCGTAGGTACTTGGCCACCGCCTTCTCCTCCTTGGTGGGCTCGCTCACCTCCTGCAGGGCACAGACAAACACACAGATGAATATAAACACTGGAAAAAAACCATCATCACTGCCAGTCCTCCCAGCTGGTAAAATATGGCACTGAAATACTGGCAGACAGCCAATAGACCATCTTAGAGCTACATCTAGGGCCGGATAATTTACAATTTATTGTAATATAGGAACACCTGTTGCAAAACAAAATACGAAGACATACAGAAAATACAGGTACATACATTGTTGTACTGCACATTGTATTATACCGTCAGGTATAGCCAACCTGATAGTTTGGCACATCACAAGCTATGGCCATATTCAAAAATGATTATCAAGTTAAATCAGCATCTTTCTGACTCTCACTCAACAAAAATTAACATTACGAGCTTCACAAAAATAGTATTTGTATCAGGGCTTCTGCACTGCATGGTCTTTTGTTGAGGTCAGCCCTTTTAATGGCAAAACAGGTGTGGTGAGTGATTTAAATCTTAGGCACTGTATTTTATCCCTAATCCACTGCTTTAGGCTAAATGTTAAATAAAAGGTACTTCATCGTATTGATTCAACGATCCTAATGATACCATAACACAGTCCTGCTTATTGATGGGTTGACGATGGATGGATATTCTGCTGCCCCCCCATCACAAAATGACCATAATAGCTGTATCTGCAGGGGTGCTGGGATCTGTGGCTGTGAAGTTACTCTTTGTTTAACACATAAACAATCTATTTTGCACAAATAATCTCCTAGGATTCATTTTTGTGATCATACCTCAGAGGTAAACAAAACTTCAAATAAAGACACGTGACTGATAAAAGCCTGCGAAGACAATAACACTTTCTGTCTGCTTTGCAAAACCAGTTAAATAAACTGTAGATGTTCATCTGAAGCAATAACAAGAGTGGCCAAATCGTTCCCTTACTCTTCCTCCCTTTTCACAACATATGCCGGCAGCAGTGAACCACATGCCAACACTGAAGGAACGAGGACAGTGAGATCTCGCGCTGCTCTAGTCAGTCCAGCTGGCTCTGGCGAGCAACATGAGGAAGACGAGGCCATCAAACAAGCCTTTGTTTAAAGAAGCAGGTATCCGTCACACAGCTCAGTTACATGAGACCCCAACACGGAAAGCCCCCTGTCACCGTCTATATGATCTACCTGGCTTGATCACATGAAGATTAGCTGCTGTGTTTCAACCATGCGCCCACAAAGCAAGCAGCTCTCAGGTCCTGGTCACAGCCATAGTATGAGGACTGGCCGCTAGTCCTCCACACACAAAGACCAAAGTACAGGCCCTTTAAAACGTATATTCAACAGTTTTGACTAGATGTTAAACCCATTTCAACCCTTGAATGATGGAAAACACAATGGAAAATGGCAATCAAGAGAAATAATGTCAAAAAAGGAGATAAGAGTTGTGTAATAGTGGTGATCTTTGTTGTGGTCCACTCATAATGAAGATAGCAGTGTGTTGTTATGCAACTGAACTCAAAAATGCACAGACCTACACTTAGCTGGGTGGATTATTAGAAACACCTACCTCAAACTAACGCAGTCGAATGCAACAGCCCTGCAACGAATCCTTCCTCCGTGTCATGAAGTTAAGCAAATTTAGCTGTAGTTTGTGGTGTTGGTGAACTATACTGACTTACACTGAGAGGTGTTTCTAATATTTTGTCTACCCTCACTGACTTAAATAGAGTGGATAAAATATTTTAAAACACAAAAAAACTAAACATCATAACCTTAATGGAGGTAAGATTGACTTGTTCCAGGCCTGTTGCATGTGTAAGTAACAGGCAACCAAGTGTACAATGAATAGTCTTCCTGTGGGATTCCTACGGGATGGGGGGTCAATTTCCATGTTCATCTTAAGTCAACGGCAGCATGCGAGATGGGAATCACTGCTCAGTTTTTATATATAAATATGCAGTTCTAATATGAATAAACACTATGTTTTATCGTGATGACAGGATGGGTTGGAAGTGAAAATCCCCTCCCGTGTCAACCTCTACGTCAAACCCATGTCAATTTTCGAACATAAAGTGCATTCAAAAGGATTTCGAATTGATCCCTGCTGGGCAGGGCACGCTGGTGTGTGTGTGCAGTAACTGAAGGGAAAGTCAAGGTGAGCAGATTACGGTTGTTTGTGAGTAAACACTAAAATAAGGAGGAGAATTAGGTAGAATTATATGGTGAAATAGATATACCACCGCCCCTCCCCTCCATAGTTACACTGTCACTCTGTGGGAAACACTGTTAAACTCTAAGCTTCTCCAAATGACCAAGCATAGCATAGCTGTCTGTGTCTCTGTATCCCTGATGTTACGGTGGTAGGGAATGAGCTCATAGTGCTTCCGAGTGCCATAAACTAAGCTGAATGGCAGTAATACTCTGTAGCTTGGGGCACTTGTACTTTGCACCTATAGCTAAGCTTCTTTGTTAGTTTATCTGCAGGAATAATAAAAAAAATGTTGGATGCACTGAAAATTATTCCACCGTTGCCTGAATTCTAAGTAATGTAGAAATATGGGTCATTTCTGTGCCACTCCAAAATGACCAGTGGTCCCATCCTAGGCAGATTCAACATTTTCATAAATATACAATTACAACACATGTTGTGAAAACAGTTCAGTGTAGCTTATTTAAGCTTATCCCACTGCTTTGTACAATTGCTGTCCCAAATCCACACAACATACTAACTGTATACTGCAAGTACTATAATAATCTCTATGGTATGTTTTGCAAGCGGTATACAATCAACATACTTAAATGTTTTATACTAACAGGGAACTTTACACAGCCAACTACACATAACAAAAAAGGCTAAATGTTTTAGTTGCCCTGCCAGTTCCTTTGTGGACTACATTGAGGGACACCAGTGAACATCAAAATCACTACAAACTAAGAATACAGACACTTTTGAGTATTCTATATTTTTTCCCCTTTAAGCTTCATTACACAGCAAACTCAAAACCTGATCAGAATCAGTTTAGAGTATGAAACTGGTACACAGCTCATGTCACTGGGTTCTTCATAGGTTCTTTCTAGGTGACTTATTTTGACCATCGGTGTCTGGCTACAGTGGTACTTACAGATGAGAAATGTGTATTGTTTTGGGGAAAGTTTGGGATCCAAAATTCTAATTGCTGTTGTTTGTTATTTTACATGAATTGGAGTTATGTGCAAGTTGACTGAACCTGTAGACGCTCTACAAACTGTTGCTTAAATCAATGCTCCAGACTTCAAAGCGCCCGTGGAGCCACACTGCCTTCACAGTATGTTACATTATGATGCACTGTGTTGACTCATTAATTAAAATTCCCGCAGATTACCTCACGTTATGTAAACACGTCGGGTTTGAGGTGACGCAGCTTAGCCAGACAACGTTTAACGTTATACAGCCAGTCCAATAGGAATAAAAACGGCGGACTGAGGAGACATCTCGTTGAGTAACGTTAGCAATTACAACACGCTTTTGATGTGTAGACCAGCGTGTGAGTGCTCCTGGCGGAAAGGATAATTAGCTCGGAAACGTCTCATCAAAATACAAACACTAACATTTGTTTTCGCTAGCCAGCTAATGCTAGCTACTGTTAGCCGACAGCTGGCTTCATCTGCCGCCTATTAACGGCTCCCCACGAGGATCCTGCCGGTAACAAACATCCCGCGACAGGTCGTGTATCAGCGCACGTTTTTTATTTATTGTCCTACACCTTGCACGGGCAGTAATCATGAATTATGGGATGTTACCTGGATCCGTTTCTTGTGCCTCCTGCGCTCCGCCATGATCCTCCAACTCAGCTCCTCCGACGTGCGCGTCTGCGCTAGGCTGCGCACGCGCATAGATTGTGTAACATCGCGAGACTAACCGAGTAACGGTTGAGAGAAATGGTCATTTCATTCATGGAATCAACAAACGATCTCGTCTCAAGGATTTTTGTGGAGCTCGTGTCAATCATCACTTTTACTTACACACACACACACACACACACACACACACACACACATATATTCCCAAAGTCCCATCTTTTACCATTACATTGTATTTACAGTACTTGTACTTTACTTGAACATTCCCTTGTCCTGCTACTTTAAAGGTTCTACTCCACTACAATTACATCATCACAACATCAAAAATATCATCAAGTTTTATTTTAACAACAATTTCATCAAGTTTTATTTCAACAATCATTAACCACAAATGGTTTCAAATCAATTCCATTTTATTTATACGCCAAATCACAACAACAGTTCTCATAGTGCCTTTCATAAAAGAGCAGGTCTAGACCGCACTCTGTGATGTTATTTACCGAAACCCAACAAAAAGTACTAAGCATCAGACGAAGGAAGCGCTTGCCTCAGTTCATCAATCAGTGAGTTAGAAATTAGCTGCAGTGTGTGGTTGTGTTTCTGAATGTGTGTTCCTGTGGGCTACCGATTGAATCGTTTGTGTTTGTCTTTTTTACAAAGCACAATCTCTATTATTCTGTATGGAACCTCAGGAAAAAGTTGTGGATGTGAAGCACCCACTGATGTTTGTGCATCTATTTCCTGTGAGTAATAGTAGATAGTAAAGCAGAAAAATGATTATGGTGATAACTATGCGTCCCTGCACATATTCATCCATAAGAATGTTATTGTTCAAACAAAAGTGGTCTAACTGCACAATGTTGCCCTGAGGCAAAACATGAAAAAATACCATTTTACTATATAAATAAAGACAAAAGGTGTCTTTACTCAATCAAATATGCCTCTTCACATATTCATGCACATCACAGATATTATTCATATAAAGTTATTTAAATTTAAACATGTTAAAAAGTGAAATTTATCTTGCCTTCTTCTAGCAGCATGTCAAAGCCGGCAATGGTCCCCAAAAGGACTGTTCCACCCCCCAACGAAAGGTCAAACCCACGCCAATCTAAAATGTCATTGGTCACAGACTTATCATCAGACTTGTAATGTGATATTTTACTTTAAAAAAATGAAAGGAGGGGGTGTAGGGGCCAAAATAGTGGTTTGCCTAAGGGCAACACCATGCCATAGAGGGTTAAGTAAAGTTTTTGAATGCAGACAATCAGCCTACTTGTAATAGAGTATTTCTACCCTGTGGTCGGCTATTGTTAAGACCTGAGTACTTCTTCCACTAGGTTTAGTACACCACCTTTATCGGATTTCCTTCTCTCTTCCTTTAGTCTCCACAAAAACAAGTTTAAAAACATTATTTTAAGGCTTGAATTGTATAAATCCCATACTAAGTCCATAAACTGAAAACTAGGCTTTTTTCTTATTTGAAAAAGCAAGTGAATAAGTGTCATAACATTTAGTTTGTTACTTTTGTTTTTTTGTGTATGTTCTTTTGTACGTACCGTTCAATAATCAATGAAATGTAATGACTTTTCAGGACCCCTTGAAAACAGGATTATGCATTTAAAGAAGCTAATCCTGTAAACACTTAAAAAGGGGTAGCTACGGGTAGGACTAATAGGTTTTGCTAATTTGTTTTCAGGACTTTGCATGTTATTTTCTTAAAATATGTGATACTTGATCTTTACTTACAGTGTTTATTCTCTACCAACACATTAAGCCATCACTGCAGGTTCCTGTGTAGAAAAACACTTTATTTACAATCCAATCAATGCAAAAAGGTATCAAACATCCAATCCCCCAAACATATATTTCATTATTCCATTACAAGACCATTCCCATGTGATTTCTATCGTCCTTATGCTGGCCTATAAATGACACTTAGCAGCTTAAAAAAATAAGTAGGCCCTAATTAAATTTAAAGCTACAATCAGGCCTGTAATGAAAAAGAAGAGAAGAACAAGTATATTGGACCTTCTTATCGTCTCAGAACTCAAAATCCACATCAGTTTCACTTCACAGTTGCTGTAAAAATATATGCGCATATGTATGTAAAATAGAAATATTTAGCAGACACCTGGGCCTAGTGTGAAACTGTGCATTAAACATCCAGGTAGCAAATAGTACAAGAAAAAAGTATATTTAATCCAGTTGGTCATTGTGTAAACAAATGTAGGTGCACACTGGTTAGGTTTGCATCTGTCCACATTATCGGTGCCGATCAGACCGCCTCACTGCTGGCGGATGGTGGGGAGTTGTTTTCTGTCTCGTGGAGGTGCTCTGTTGATTTGAGAACATCAGCTTCTCTTGGACTCGCCATCATCTCCTCACTGTTGCAGTTAGCAGGGGAGCCGATCTCTGGTGAGCGGTCCCCGGGCTTCTCGGAAGTGGCCTGCAGGGCGGTGGTGGAGAGTGGCAGGTTCATCATGTACATCATGTTGCCTAGGCGCCTGGACACCTGGAGGAATAAAGAAACTGACTTTACTTCTGCTTGTAAATGTGAATGTCATTCTCTAAAGGAATAAAGTACCTGTAGAGAAAATTAAGTGCTGCAGATAATGTGCAATACAATGTAATGAGAGTAATGTTTTCTGTAGGCCACATGCCAGTAAGAAAAACGTAGGTGCAAAAGTTGCATTGATGGAAGAGTTGTAATGTAGCGATGCACAGGCAGTCCTGAAATATATTTTAAAGTAGCACTCATCCTATCTTCATAAGGGTCCAGCCTTGTCTTTTCTTTCTTTTATGGCCTGATGGTGAATTCTAAGGTCCCAGTCAGAATCTGTTGCTTACCTGTGAGCGTATCTTAAGAGCTGGTCCCAGCTTGAGCCCCAGTGTGTCGAGTAGATGCTCCTCTGACAGGAGGGGCAGTGTCTCCCCATCAATCATGTGGTCCTTGAACGTCTGTAAAGTGAAATAACACAAACTTTAGACAGAGACGCAACAGAAAGAATAAAGGCGAGGAAAGTTACAGAAAACTGTAGGAACCAACCTGAGCATATTCTGAACATGTGGGTATGCTGTTGATAAAGTTGTAAACATCATTCATTGTCCACTTCCTTACGTCTTCGGACACCTCATCGCCATTTAGAAAGAGGTTGGGTGGACCTGGAAAACAAAAAAACATGCACCGATTGTTTGTGTTGCAACATACACATTTAATTTATTCGCTGAAAGAATCTATTGTAATCTATCTTTAAAACATTTCCCCTAAAACCCACCAGGTGGAAGGAAACCATTTTCAGGGACTGGGAACATGTAAGGTATGCCAGGGAGTGCTCCACCAGGGGGATACATGAACTTCTCCTGGAAAGCTGAACATTGGCTGGATATGTCTTTATCATTTGTGCTGCTGTTGGCCGCATCTGAACACCCATCTTGACTGTTCACACAGGCTTTGCGCAGGCCTGGCTCCCCCTCTTTGTAGTTCTTCCTGCTTCCTGTGGCGAGCTCAGAGTCTATTTTCGCTTGATGATGCGTCTTGCTGGTGGCACACTCGTCTCCCATGTCCCCCTTTGCCTCCGCCTCTTTCTCCTCCCCTGATGTGGCTCCTGGGCTCTGCTCTACACTTTTATCTTCAGTTTGGCCCTTCAGGCTGGCCACATGACTCTCTGCACTCTTGTGAACAGTGGGTCTCCTGCCGGCCCTGCGTCCCCTCTCCCTGTGCAGCGCGCTGATTGGTGGGTAAGGGCTGGCTGACATGAGTATGCTGTTGGAGTGCAGTTCATCCAGGGTGGGACGGTGGACAAAGACATCATGGCCGTCTGGCATGCGTTGACGACCTCTGAAAGCCATGGGGTTGGAAGGGTACGACATGGGGTTATCAATTCCCATAAGTCCTTTCTGGTGGGCATTCTCCAGCTCCTTCTGATGCAGGATTGCATTCATCTCCATTCTGAACAGGAGCACACACAAGTATTAGAAACAAATATTCAACATATTTGTCCAACAGTGGTGCTGGAACCACATTATCACACTCTTCTGAAGCAGAGGGGACTGGATAAATTCAGTGCAACATGTGATGCAGCAGACCTGTGTGTAGGGGGAAGGTCTGCACACAATACCTGGCTATATTTTGCTTGTGAATGAGCTCCTGTCGCCGGGCAACTGTTTCCATGGGCTCTGAGTGCAAGAAGCCATAGCCAGCTGAAAAAAAGAAAACGAGAGATAACACGCATTCACATTCCTTAAGATACAGACAAGCTGGGAATTCTCTCAGGCAATGGATATGTATCAGGCCATGCTCACCTGCTCCAGGGAAAGCTCTCCCAGGCAGGACATTCGCATGCGGAGGTAGAGGTGGACCCAGGTGAGGTCCCATGTGCATCTGTCTGGCATCAGAAGCTACCATCTCTGTGTTGGGAACCAGCTCCCTGGCGTCAGAAAAGCATGCAAAATCAGTCAATTAGGCATCAAGGGGCTAAACATTTATAAACAGATAATCAGCTGTTTGCATCTATAAGAACTGTTTTTTAATGATTAAGGTATATAAAGTAGCCATGACTTCTTCACTTATGCACCTGTAACTGACAATTCTCAGGGGTACCCTTAACCAGAGAGCTACTGTTTCAATTTTCAAGAGTGAATTCAGGTACAGACCTCTCCATGAAGCGAGGTTCGAACTGTGCTGGGACCCCCTGTAACCTCTGCTGCCCCTGGGCGAGGATCTGTGGAGCCATAGCCATCTGGTTCCTCATCATCAATTCTTGCCTCTGCCTCAGCTCTGCAAGAGAAGAAAAGGCACTATAGGTCAGTGGGAAGCCAGTTTAGCCACAATACCTGAGACATGCACTGACTGAAAGCTTACTGCAGCAGGTAAAAATCCACTAAAGTCAACACGGGGCAGACAAGGTCAGTAAGTTGGTTTCACCTGTTTGGAGCTCCAGATTGGAGCTTTAAACACATCCTGGTGATTGTCTAAATTCTCCACTCATTGCTGACGGTAATATTTTATTTTAAAAAGTTAGTAGTTTTCTTGGACTTATATTTTATGGTGCTTTGTCTCCTCTGTGTTTTCATTTCTCACCTCCAGCTGACATGCCGTTGACCAGACGGTACCAGTGCTTCTCATCAAAAGCCCCCTGTTCTCCCATCGCTGTCATCTTCCTCAGCTGCTCCCGTGGGGTCATGATACACACACGACCTTTGAACTCCACCTGAATGCTGTAAAAGTTCAAGTTGAAAAAAAGGGGTAAATTTCTACAACAGGACAATGTGACAATGTGCTTTAACAAACTGGTTACTACAGTCGTGGGCTTTAAAGTTTAAATTCATTTAAAACTGTGCTTGTATGGACGTATAAATTTTGTAATGTCTTATTATTGCCACTAGGGGACAGTAAATGCCTGAACATTAAAGAGCTGTTGATGGTCACTGAAATAAGTATCTCACTTAAATACCAACAAACAAGCAAGCACATTTTGTCACTAGACATTATCATTGCCCACATAAAAACACATGGGCAAAAAGTTTTTTATTCTTCCAATAAAACTTTATTTAACAGCATAAAGGATTGTTTTTGTTAGTGTTGCAGAGAATGAAATATGCCAGTTTAGTGAATTTATTTTCACTACTTATTTGTGGTGTTTTTATTTAAGCGGATGTGGCAATGAAAAATCTTCAGATTATATGTTAGTTAATATAACAGCTGCCAATATGGGATCAATGCACACAGACACTGACCAAATTCATTCTCTAACGTTTAACCCTTACTCTCACCTCTTACCACCGACCTAGCATTAAGCATTAATCTTAAACCAACCTTAGCCCTAACCCTCACCGTAACGTAAACCTAATCCTAAATTTAAATTTAACACCTAATACAAAGCCCTTAAAATGTGAACACGAGCAAAAATTGACTTTTCTCATCTTTCAATCCTTGCAGGCACATTTGGTCCTCGTAAGTATAGTAATACAAGGATACACACGTACACTCATGCACACACGTATACACGCAAAATGGCCAGGTTGTTCTTGGCTGAGCCAGCAGCTTGTGTACAAAATCACAATCGACTTACACACCTCCAATTAGCCTTCAACACTGCTGAAATCCCATTACAAATATGATACTGTAAACGACAGCGCAATAATCCAGTTCTACTAATCCAGGACCAGTGTGAAATAAAATCTGGGTTGATGAATCCAAATTTTCACAGCACTAATGTTCACCATCCACCTCTCCATATGACATAAGATTATAAACATATGGTAATAATTGCATTTGATTGATTTGATATGTTTTCCAGTGTGTGGTACATGTGCAAACTGTACTCACATTTTCTCTGCCGTCCCCTCCCCCAGACACACCCTGCCATATGATTTGCCCCGAGGCCTTGCGCATTATCCACAGTCACTCTAGTTCCCTCTGAAGCCCATCTAATCTGAGGGCTGTAATCCCTTATTAGTCCTGCAACAGTCTGCTAGCTACATCTGCTGACCTGCCTGCAGACCGCCCTGCTGGCCCATCCTACCCCCATCCCCACCTTTCCAGGCCCCTGCTACCCCCAGGATCCTATTAGCTAAGTCCTGGCTATACAGCACTTTAAAGGGATGTGTTGGAGGTAATCCGCACGTTTAGAGTTTTACCCTCAGCAAACCTGGCCTGTAAGCATCCCGGACAATACACCCAAAGTGCTAAGCCTATTAGCCTCCATTAGCTCCTTGGATGTCCTAAAAACACCTTGGGGATAAATCTGGGGATGCAATCGGTTTATGTGGAGCTATGTGGCGCCAACACACGCACCCTGTCTCCACCTCAACTTGTCTGCCAATGTCGTACCAGCCAGCATCAGCAAATGAGGGAAAATGTATTTCACCATTTATGTCTCTGTAATTCCCAAGTGGGCACTAAGCCCCGAGCCTCAGGGTGTTGTGTAATTTATTATCGCCTTCACATTCTTTCAAATGGGAATTAATGATTTACACTTTCATGTGTGATACTGTAAACAACTGTACGTATTTCAAGATGATCAGACTTTCTCCGTGTTGTACTGTTTGAGTGGATGAACAGTGCACATAACTTAATGATTATATCTCAAATGTAATACAATCAAAATACAAACCAAGAAATGTAATTTTTATTCCAGAGCCTCTGCAGAAAAAGTGCAGACAAAACAGTACCACAAACAGTGAAGGCTGCAGAAAAAAAAGGAACTTGTGTTGGCACTAGATTGTGAAAAACACTTCTGAAGGTGTTTCCAGAATCCCCAAAGGTTCCTGTAACCATCTGGATGAAAGAACATCCAGTCTGCTGCACAATGACAAATCATTTTTAAACCGGTTTCCATGTTGTGACTGTATTTCCTTGACATATGTGCTTGCTCTTTTTGTGAAATAATAGCAAAATCAATATTATTGTTATATTGTATGAAAATATGTAAACACTGGAAAGAAACATCAGTATATGCTAATGAGTTAACTTTATTGCCAATATAATTATTCACAGTGGAACAGGACGCCACAACAACAACATACAAATAATAAAACCTAAGTAAATAAATAAGAACATACTGAAATAAACAGTACCATACATATAAAAGACAAGCTAAAACAATATACCTTGAAGTGCGAGAGGTTTGCAGATAATGTTACTGATAATAACATTTTTAATTATGTTTCATGTTGTGCAAACTGAGGAAGTAGATGTGTCATTTCCTGCTACCATCTTTGTTTGGATTAGGAAACAGAATTGTAACTTGGGAAACTTTTTATCGCGCAGCAGACCAAATATTTTTTCATCCAGATGATTAAAAGAGAATTTTATGATTTTTAAAAATTCCTTCAGAACAGGGGTTAGTGTTGTTTTTCAGTAAATTTGATGTTTAGCTCCATGACTCCAGTGTAATGTTAACACATGCGAGGCACAAAGCGGAGCTAGCCTTGTGGCAACTTGTGCAATTTGGAGGAATACTTGGCCTGCTCAAACACACAGCTAATACATTCCTCAGGTTCTGTTTAACTTTCTGAGACTTAACGTATGTACAAACCTGACCTCACTCAAACTTCATGGGCAGCTACAAAATCTCACATGGAAGTTTCCATGTGGCTTCAGGCATTTTGTGAGTGAAACTGTCATTACAGGTGAGCACAAAAAAATCTCGTCATATTTACTTAACGACCAGAGGCCACACCGCAGCTGCCAAATCCGGGGATTGGACTCCTTGGATTTGCTGTTGCCTGGTTAATCTCATTACAAGAATGAATTAAAGGGAAAAATTGCTGACGACTTAGATGGAGCCCCGAGGAGGTCATATCAGACAAGACAGAAGTATTGTCTAGTCCTTCCTAATCCTTACACAACAAACACATGCTAAAGCCATGTATATTATGTCAGTTGCATGAAGCAGCGTCATAAGTGAAGCGCTGCAGGTTCTATTCATTTAAGAATTATGTGCAGTGTCATAAACTCACAGGACAAAATGTTGAAAAACATGGTGATTATAAGGATAAAGTGAAATATAAATTTAAATGAATATATAGAAATATACAGTATAACGTATACAAACCAATTCAGTTGATAAGGCAAAGTCATCATGTATTTTAGCATTATTTTCATGTCATTACAGAATCTGGGCTAATTATTAGGTTAATTAGACATATTTCAAGGTTGTGCTTCTAATCCCATTGGCCTCTAGATGAATCACTCACTGAAGGATAAGTAGCCTTTTATACAGTTTACTGGTTACGTTATGCACGACAAGGTTTACCAAGGTTTTGAAATTCTTTTTTATAACTGCGATGCAAATATTCAGCTACGTGCATGTATTTTAAGATTGTTTCTCCATGTACTCTATATAAACTAGACTAAACTAGATTTTGCTCTTTTACAAGAATAATGGCAGTATAAATGTGATTTACAACAACACAAGTACAACCTAAACCAATTGGTCACAACGAGAAGCATTAGGGAAAAAAGGAAGTGTGGGAACGATTGAAAGAGGAAGTTTTAATGGACTTACCTTCAAGTTCACACCAGTGAGCAGAGCTTGGAACGGGTTTTGTCCCAAAAAGTCAAAAATGTAAAAGAAAAACGTTTGGACAGCTTACAGAACCCGTTTCTGTACTGTGTTTCTGTTTCACTCCCAACTAATGGGCCTCCCACTAACCAGCCAACTGGTCTGAGCGCAGTCTGCTGCCAGCTAACTGCCTAAACTAAAAAAGACCTTTTAAATACCGATTCATTTCATCTCCATTAGCTGGCCTTATCTCCTGCGGTAAGCCCTCCCTGTCCTGACATCACTATGATCTCCCATCCAACTGCTTGCCGCACCTTGCAACTGATGTGTAATTACCGAAGCAGCACTGGTCCTAAGCATGGAGTGCTAAACCTCTTTCAACGTTTACCTCACTAATCCCTTGTTAGCACTTTAGACCATAGTTAAGACACCTAAATGCTTAGCTTCCTTTTCCAGTGGCAAAATGGCCAACCCCTCCTTAACTGCTCTGCGGCCACATGCAGAGAGGCTGCATGATGCTGGCTGTAGACTTTGAAAATCCAACAGATCAGTCTTGTTTTTGTGTTTCTTCATATGTCTAGCGTAGGTGTCAGAAGTATTGCACTCCCCAGGGTGCCAAAGGGTTGACCAAAACATGCTTGGTGGTAATTTGCTAGAAATCCGACTAAATGTTGTCTGGATCATCCTCTCAGACCTCTTAATCTGACAGTTTGTACTCACCAACCGCTTACAGCATGGACACTACTCTGAATTATGTTTTCTTTATGCCTGGTGAGCAGCAAGTTGTGCACAATTTGTGGGCTGAGAGGTACTTTTGCTAAAAAGCAGACATGATATAAACGGGCATGATGGTGTTTCTATCACCTTCTCAGTGTGCAGGACAACATATGGGTCAAGGAGAGTTCACTAAACCAGAGCTCAGTGCAATCCTGTGTTGTTTATCATACACACATATATAAAGTTCATATTTACTCCTAGCTAAAACTGATGCAGTCTAATACAAAAGTCCTGGGACAAATACAGTTTTAGAGATGAGCTGACCCAATTTTATGATAATTTTGGAGGCTGCAGTTTGTGGTGAATTGTGTTACATTATACAGAGAGATGTTTCTATTATTTTGTGCACCACAAACTACATGTCCCAAAATGATCACAGTATCAACACCTCTCTGAAACAGTTTAAATAAAAAC